TCTAATCTTCAGTTTATAATTAGAAAATATTCAACACTTTTCTAAATATTGGGAGAATTCATAGCGTTCCAAAAACTGATCTTCCCCTATTTTAAAATATCATAAAGTCCTTCGCCTTATTTTAATTCAAATTTTTTAAATCTACCATCACTTCAACGTCCGAACTATTGGATTCTTGTTTAGAGTCTGAATATTAGTTACTCACTAGTCTTCCCTTTTGTAGCTTAAAAAAAAGAAAAAAAACAGCTAAATTTGTGCAAGAGAAATATATCAATATGAGTTTAATTTTAACATTTTCCTGACTTTAAACGTCGTTTACGCAGATCTGATTATAATCCCTCTCATAGATAAGAACCAACATATGGATACGAACCAATTTTATTCAAATTTGGTGTGAATATTCCTAGTAACAGTTATCGCAACACAATGACAGTGGACATACTTGTAGTCGTCTTAATGATTAAAGAGGGTTAATATATATGATATGCTTCTCTCCTTACAAATTGTCATACGAATTTTCATATCAGTAACATTCACTCGCTCAGAGTTCTCAACTGGTTATTCTGTACTTCTTTTTAGGATTATACACCGTAAGTTACCGTTTAAATTCAGGCAGGTACGTTTTATGGTCGTTATTTGTGTGTGTGTGTGTGTGTGTACATCATACACTAAAATTATGATCAAAAATAAGCCTTTACAAATAAATAAGCCTTTATAAATGCAGGATGAAAAATCTATTAAAATTTTCAGTACTTTATGCCAAACTTAGTTGAAGAACAATAAGTCCGTTGATAAGGAAATTAATTTTGCTAAATTTGAACTATGTCAGCTTTCATTTTGGGTTCCCTATCCTATAATAACTCTTATAAAAAGTATACTTTCGCCTAGAAGTTAGGTGAAGTGATGATTTTGGTATTTTTTTTTATATTAGAGATAATTTTCTTTGCATAATTTATTCATATAAGAAAAGTTAATCTACTACGTTGAAACGTCCACCTCAACTAATTTGGAATTAACACACTTACTTTGTCGACTTCTACTCTCCAAATCGTTTTATTTAATACCAATATCGTTCGTATTATTAAGAAAAAGTTAATCCGCCAGTCCGTAATGTCCATCATATTTATTTTAGAGTTAACGAATTTTTAGGCAGATAATATATCTCCATTTGAGGAATACGCAAAATTGTTTTACTCATTCAGATTTGTTGACCTTACGATTAATAAGATTAAAACCTTAAAAAAATAGAAAAAGAAAAATTGAAACATTACCTGGGCATGGCCGATCTTTCCGATTTGGCATGTAAATAGCAGAGTTTTTCGTAAAATACATGTGAAGAATTTTAGCCTTTTATCTTTTGCAATTTGTGAATAATGAGTAAAAGCCGCAAATATTTGTTAAGAAAAACGGAGGTACGTTCGCTTCATTGCGGGCTTGTGCTCTGACCAATTTGGCCCATTTTCAATATCAACCTGAGTGCAAAAACTTGTAATGTTTCTACCAAATTTGAAGCCGATGTCTTAATTTTTGCGGCCAGGAGACTGTCAAAACCCACCATACACACCACCAGGCACACAGACGGACAGACATGAGCTAATCAGTTCAGAAGTTCACGCTGATCAAGAATATACTTTAGAACTTTAGAACTTTTTAGACTTTATAGGATATGTGAAGCTTGTTTTTTGGTGTTGCAAACATTGTGACAAAATGAGTATACCTCCCTATAAACAAAATTAACAAATCTTCACTCACGATAAAAGGCCCGATATCTCGTCAAAGGAAAGTTTAATTTGCTCTACTCTCGTTAAGGTTAATAGAATACATATTGCATATTGCACTATCGCAAATTCCGATTTCCCTCCGATGCAATACAAACATTTTTCACGTTACAGTTAACCTATAAATGTAGTTTAAAGAAAAAATTTTCAATTTTTGAAGAAATGATTAATTTAATACAAAATTTAGGCTTTTAAGAATTCTTCATACGCAATTCATTCATTGGAAAAATGTGGAAATGTCAACTTGACAGTAATGAAGTTTACCAAAATTGATTAGCTTGTCAAAGGTTCGTTTTACAATTTTCTATTTCACGTATGTAATATAATTTATTTTGACGATTCGAAGCGGCTCAAGCTTTACACAATTAAAATTTAAAGAATATATACAATTACTTAAAACTTTCAATTGATCTTGCGAAAAACAAAAAATAGCATAAATATTAAACAGACGGTAGCACAATACAATGCTGTTTAGTGAAAAAAGTTTGTTGAACGGAAGCTATAAACTAAAAGTTAAGATGAGCGGCAAAAGATAAACTAATTTTCATAGCAATTTATCGGTAATAAAACAATTAAACAATACTAATGAACGAGCGACACAACAACAATAATTATATCTCGCAAAATATTTTTTATATTTTATGTTTAATGTTTGTCAAAAGACGATCGACGGAATAATGATTATAAAAAATAAGAGTAATTGGACTGATGAGGATAACGAGGATTGATAATTCTCGTCCGGCACTATCAATGAACAAAATAAACATTCATTTTATCCATCAAAGAGAAACAGGTGGTTAAGGATTATTCCTTCTCTGAGAGTCAGAAATAGTTGAGTTGGCCGCGTTCGTTCGTTATTAGGTTGCCTTCTTAAAGCCTCAACCATAATGGAATGCTTAATGTAAGCACATATATCTCGCCATTGCAGCCATTAATGGCTGACATCCTGAGACAGCCTTACAAAATCGGTGATTAGCTTGCTAATGTAGAGTTATTAAGAAAATTTTTGGCAGGCTGCATACCTAAATTTTGCTTCAATGCGAATACATTTCCTACTTGCATTGTAATCGTTGATTATTTTCAACTATTTCGTATTAAGGGAATCTTAAATTTCTTAATTAATTCTCCAAACGATACAGCAACAACAACAACAGTAAATAGCTTATTTTACATATTACGGTATATTGACGCATGATGTGTTGTGGACATGTTTGTATCGTTATGTGAACAAACAGATGGCAACTTTTTAAATGAGGCCGTAGTGGAATTTGGTAAATTCTATGAAATATTTACCAAATATTTTTAGTTTCTAGTCGCTGCGAACTATATAGTACTTATAAATTTTTATCTAAACAAAGTTGGAAGCCTTTGTCAATATTGTGGAAGGTTTCTAATGTTGTAACTAGACATTGGGTTGGACTAGTTTTGTATGTACTTATACCGTTTGCTCGAGTATGAAACTAATGGATAAAATTAGAAAGCGTCGCCATAATTGATTCGGTCAATTCTTCGGGGCGAAAGCACGTTATAATCAATTGAGGCTCTTTCTACGCAGGCGGCCTGACTGACATGACTTTCAAATCCTTAAAGAAACTTTGCTACAATAAATAGATATTTGAAAGTACAAGTACAAAACCCTTAATAGTAAAGATTTAGTAATTTTGCAGACCCATCAGCACGGAAGAAGTGGATTTACTTATTACGTGCTTTGTGGCCTGTAAAACTTAATAGCAATAGAGAGAATATATCTCACAAGTGGATGGACAGACCGATATATATAAATCGGGAAACATATGGCATACACTGGCGACACGCTTGCATGCGCGCTACGTTATATTAACAACAATCATCGGAGTAACATTGACGACATTTGTTAATTTTCGTAAAACCGCCCGCACGAAACCAGTGTTACTCATTACACCTTATTCCTAATACTGGCAGTTATAGGTTCCTACCGACACAGGTGTACAATTTTGATATTATAAAATGGAAATTATATTAAACACTTTAATTTTACACTTTAATTGTACAAGAAATACTCTGCATACAATAATTTGCCATTGACAAGTCTGGTTTGGAGTTTCCATCGTAAAAATTTTGTGTTTCTTGAAGCAAGTGGTTGCAACAATTTTCGAATAGATTGGAAATGCCTCAACGGACAGGTTGCATGGAGCCCGACTTTCCACGCAAAAAGAGGAGACTGCAATGTTCAATCGAGGTTTGATACACTGTAGTAACAATGGGAAAATATATGAGGTTTTATCACTTTCGCTATATTTTCTCACCTAGTTAAAGGCAGTGGCTAAGGAACTGCAACGTGTACTTCTAGTATCTCAGTGGATAATAATAAAATGAAGAATTAAGAAGATACAAGTCTCTATGATGTGCGAAAATTTGTTTTGTTTATTTTAAATGAAGTACACATAAATAATATATACATAAATGGAACTAAAAATAAAATAGAGTAGAGTAAAATTACATCATTGCATATTTACCAATGTAACGTATTCTCATAGGCAGTAGATCAGTACGGAAATTTGTATTTGCTATTCAGCATAATTTGAGACATGAATATTTGGTTGCTCATGTGTCCTCTTCTTCATCTCCCTCTAATTGTTTCATTTGTAATATTACATAGATGAACTGTCTTGTGACTTTGAACTTAATAATATTACTCTAATACGCGAACATATTACAACTTTGCCTTCGCCAAAAACATTTTGTTTCCAAAAGAAAAATTTTGCTTATGTGTTGATATATAGGTATTGTAAAAGTAACCTTATATTATTTATACAATTGTCTGATTTCTTATATAAAAGTGACAGTACGAAAATTTGAAGGAGTGTGCTTTGTAATAATCATCAGATTATTAACATAAGATCATTAAGATATTTAAAAAAAGGGAAAAGTTTTTTATGATAAGCATTCGTGCTCGAATAGTTAGTTATATTCAGAGCAAGTGAAGTACAAATTGCTGGGAGCATCCGGTTAAAATATAACAAGAAAGAATAAATGTAAAAACAACAGAACCTCGGGTAATTACTTAACGATGAATACAACAAAGGAAAAAAGATATTCCGATTTTCTTGCGGCGAAATGTTCTTGTCTGGAAGAAATATCATACTATCCATGCATGGCCATTTCCTTTCAAACAGTGTGATCATATTGCAATAAAATCCAGTTTTATTTTTGATTTTCTCTTTTTGGTTTCATCATTTATAGATATAAATTGCACACAGCCCGCCATAGATGATTTTCCGCGTGATTTATTCACAGAACCACAAAGACAGGCGGGTGCTGTTGTACTTCATGTTATAGCCAGTTTATATTTATTTGTAGCATTAGCCGTAGTATGTGATGAGTATTTCGTGCCTGCAGTGGAAAAAATCTGTGCAGGTAGGTTGGATTAGTCTTTCCAAAATAGTACTTTAAGCTAATAAAAAAATTTTTTTTCTTACGATTTAGCTTTAAATATGTCTAATGATGTGGCAGGGGCTACATTTATGGCTGCAGCCACCTCAGCACCCGAATTATTTGTAAATGTGATAGGCACTTTCATTACCGAGGGTGATATAGGCGTTGGGACTATTGTGGGCTCGGCGGTATTTAATATATTGGCTGTTGCTGCTTGCTGTGGGATAGGAGCAGGAATGGTAATTTATGTGGAAAATTACTTATAAAGGATAACAATTATTCATGAGCCATGGATATTACTTGGACATTGCAGACTATACCCTTAGATTGGTGGCCTTTAACACGAGATAGTATAGCTTATGGTATCACAGTGGCTATATTAATTTGTGTAATGCATGATGAGCGTGTGGAATGGTACGAAGCTCTAATATTGGTGTCATTGTATGCTGTCTATTTGGCTGTTATGTATTTTGATAAAACATTTCAAAAATGTGCTAAAGGTAAGTTGACCGAACGAATATGCCTTTTATGGGAAAAATCCTGTACCCTTCATCTAAATTATTATTTTTAACGTCAATGTGGAACACTTTTATTTATAATGACGTACAGGTGGCGTTAAACAGGCGCGTTCACGCAGCCGTTCTTCCAATTGTAGTATTCAAACGAAGAACATTAATGAAAAAGAAACAGGTGGTACTATCATTCATTAGAAAGATTTGTTTCAACTTGACTTATAACTTTTTCTACACAGTAATTATAACATTTCAACTATTTCACTAAAATAAGATTAAGTGCATAAATAAATTCTGCAAATTAAAATTGGTTGCTGCAATAAAACGTACGTTTACTTGCTCCAAAATTTTGGATACACATAGCTTAGATGTTGATCTTTATATGTGGCAAGTTTGACTTGTTTATTAACTGTAGTTAAAGAGGTTGCTATAATATGCATGTTATCCTGTTTCAAAATGAAAAAAATCTAGCTCCCGCCATGGAAATGATTAAGTTAGCGCGGGGCGAAAATACGGTAAGTTGTGAAATAGTTGGAAAGTGGTTTGCGAGATAACGTGCAAAAAGTTGTAATCTTGGGAACGGTGAATATTTTACTGCCTCGCAAGATTGAAGAATTTAAAGTACACTACACGAAAATCTGTCAAAAATTCAAACAGAGCGCACTGTACAGTAGAGAAAAAGTCAAAAAGAAAAATTCAGTTGAATTGCATGAAATGGGAAATATAAAAAGAAATAAAATGGGAGCTAAGCGAAAGGAGAAAAATCGTAAAGTTGTCGTGTGGTTATGTCTGTTAAGTCGCTGTAATTTCAAATTATTTCGAACGGCAAAAACGTCTTGTGTTCGATAATTGAAACGAAGAAAAGCAAGAGTTTAAGCATGACAACCATCCATATCTCCTACAAAGCCGCATATTCAGGCCCATAAAATTTTACTGGTGCACGTTGATGTCCATCCCTTTAAACTTTATATATACTAAGCTGCAGCGTATAAACAGCCGATACTTACACCATACAAACACCAATGTATAAGCTACATATATCTAAGATTTTGGAGAAAAAAAACGCGTTATGCACGTTTTATGAAGTAACCAACTTCAATCTAAAGGATTTATTTTTACACCTAATGCATAAATACTAATAATGGATTTAACCGCATTTGCTTCACTCACTATTCTTTATCTAATATTAGTTTTTAGAACTTTTAATATACTCCGAGATTTCGGTTCCCTGCGCTTATAAGCCCGGTTTTATAAATACTGGTCTATTCACCAACCTTTTGCATTTTATTTACTACTCATTTTATTTACTACTATGATTAAGTAAACTTTTATGTTTAATATCTTGCTACTTTTTTTTTTATAAAAATGCCATACATTTTTTAAAAATTTTATAAACAAAAACTTTTTGGTGAAAATATCTAGGCGAATTCCTTTTTTTGCGGATATAAAATTTCTATTTAATGAAATTTTCAATATCAGATTATTTATGAAGAAAAAAATTAAATCAACATAGTATTATAAAAAAAAATGTCTTCCTTTTACTTTTATTTAAAGTAAGATGATCAGGTGGAGCGAAGACTTTGGAACACGGAATACTTTCGATTAAAAAGCGCAAAACAGTATTGATGTTGGCAGGATTGCAATAGGGCATAGTAGAGAAAATATAACAGATGAACAGACAGTTACACATTAAAATGATAACCTTTCTTCTTTTTGATCAATTCTCTTGATGAGAAAACGTTTGTAATAAGGATGCAGGCCGTCTGGATTAGAGAACATTACAGAGACGATCAATAAAATTGATCCAAATTGACAGAGATTGAACTTCATTTATTTCTTAGCAACTATCTAGACAAAATATATAATAATACATTGTTGCGAAATTCGCTTTTCTTGGATACGGTTCGTATCGTCAGATCGTGGATATTCTTTTTAAGAGAAATACACTTGCACGTTTTCACTTCAAGACTCTTTTATTTACAATCAATTTATTTAAGGGTACGACTATTTACATTTTACTTTGGCAATACTCTCGACTTCTCAAGTCCAATTTTCTTTTTCGACTCAGATGTCTTTGTCCGACTGACTCTGCCTTCCGCACATAGTCAATTTATATACATTTTTACAAGCATATTACTATTATCTAAGTTCATGACTTCATCTTTAATCCGTTTTCCGGTAATCGTTTTCCTCGGCCGGCAGCTGCATGACACTTATAAAAGACCATCTGTTTTGAAAAGAAAAGCAATCACTGAACAATATAGTATTCGTGCATTGCACACAATCGACTCGACAAAATGACCTCATCTAAAAATGAGAGAAATTTTTTTTTATCATGCAGACATATCAACTTAGCGATCTTCACTTACCAGCGTAACCCTGGTTTAACCGACTGAGATCATTACCTTGATGCGATTGTGGGTACAAAAATTAGATACAAAAGTCCGTTCTTCCCTTTCACGACAATATATTGAGAGGTCACCGATAAACCTTTTGAAAATTTTTTGAAACGTAAAACATGGGTTTATTTGCTTTTTTAAAACACAACAGTAGCATATGTTCCTTGCTCGTTTTAACGAAGCCTACTACTTTAAGACACGGGATTACAACCTTTGCAAAAATTATGCTGAAGGTGATGGTAGTTGAGCTACCGTTCATTTTGGATCGTTGCAATCAATGGCGACTTTGTGGTTTATAGTGACGTGATAAACGTTTTAATTAAACGCAGTTACATGTCAAAGAACCGCCGAAGGAATGAACTTGTCGCAAACGCAATTTGCGAAGAATGCTCTTAATAAAAACAATTCACTGTTTTTAAAAATTGTAATTGCTTCAAAAACCTATATATCAAATTTCTACACCCATATATATATATATCTAATATCTTTTAAATTCCATTGCATATTTTGTATATATTTATATTTCATATTTTAAATTTTCTCTTTAATTCCTTATATTTTAAGAATATGTTTGTTTAGTTATACCCACCGCCGTTACATAGCAGTTTATGTAAGTTTGTCAATTAAGTTGGCTGGTTACAAGCAAACAACAATCGCAGTGAAATCAATTTTAATCTTAGGTACAGTGATATCCCAAGTCCGTTTGGTTTTCTTTATCCGTCCATCCGTTTGCCTTACCATTGCGGAATTAAACCTTAAATACGAGTGGAACTCTAACACTGCAAGATAAATTTACGAAAAACATAATGTAACTTTTTTCTTATTATTTAATACTTGCAAGCAATAGTAAATCGTACTCGGAGGTTAAATGGGCAAGGTATTTTTTTTAATATTTAAAATAAGTTCGCAAGTCAAAAAATCTTTGCAAGCCACTTGATAAGTTTAATTATAAAATCATATTAAATTTTAGGTGGTGGGTGTTGAAGGCGCTCTAAGTTAGTAAGATAAGGCTGTGGCAGCCATTTTGACATTTCCCCATTTCATTTTTCATCGCTTTGAGTTTTTAACAATTTTAGAAATCGTTGAAAATCGCATTTGTCATAATTTATCAACTATTCAATTGAATGGAGGCGTTAATAATGATCCCCCGAAAATTTCATCTATAAATATGGCGACAACAGCAACAACTTCATATTCAACACCGACTGTTTCAACTGTAACCCACACTCCCTCCGTTCCAACAGCAGCCGATGCTGTAAATACGACTCTTATAAATCTCAATATTAGTACCGTGAACTTGGCTAAAACTGGTACGTGTCTTTTGTCATTAGCTCCAATAGCTCAGCATGAAGATACGGAAGCTCCTTCCTCGCCGACAATGGCAAGTAATGCAAATGTTACAGGTGCGGATGAAGACTTGGAGGAAGACGAAGGCTATTTTTTGTTAAGATATCCAAAAGAAAAAAGTTGCTTCGCCCAATTCACTTGGTTGATTATATGGCCCATTCATTTTTTGTTTTGTGTAGCGATACCAGATTGCAAAAAAGCCAAAAACAATAAGATTTTTCCTTTGACATTCGTTATGTGCATTGTGTGGATTGGTTCGCTATCCTATGTGGTGGCCTGGATGATAACAATTATTGGTAAGAAAGTTAAAGGGAAAATGATGAATTTATAGAAAGTTAACGAGATTTTCTAATTTTTAAATCTACCTTGCGGAGTGTAGGGGATACTTTAAAAATACCAGACTCGGTAATGGGCATAACATTTCTGGCAGCGGGCACTAGTGTACCTGAAGCGGTTTCTAGTGTCATAGTAGCTAAACGAGGTGATTTTTAAAATTGTCATATATTTTTTTCAATATAATTCAAACATATTTCAGGTCATGGTTCGATGGGAATCTGCAACTCCATTGGATCCAACACTTTCGATATACTACTGTGTTTAGGTGTACCATGGCTAATCAAAGCCGTCTTCTTTCCCATCCAACCAGGGCAAAATTATGTGGGCATAAACTCTGCCGGTCTGGAGTATTCAGCCATAACGTTACTATCTACTTTGTTTTTGCTTTACATAACGTTCTCGTGTAACAAATTTAAATTGGATAAAAGAGTGGGTACGGCGTGTTTGGTCATGTATTTGGTATTCTTGATTTTTGCCTCACTAATTGAATTGAATGTGTTCTTCCGAGTCAATCTACCGACCTGTGGACGGTCATGAGTTATGCGCGTATCGTTTGTTCGAAAGCAAAAATAAAAAAAAACAAAGTCTAATTGGTGTCATTGTTGTTAAACTGTTTAGGTATCTTCTTTACGAAAATTTTTAATCTACATCCTAAGAAATAAATTTTTGAAATATTATCATTTTTCATAAAGTTTGTTTAAAAAACGTAATTGCTTTAATTAGAAAGTAAATTTTTAATTTTGAATAAAAATACCATTTCGCCAACCTGTTAAAATTTATTATGTAGGTTAATTTTAATTTTTTTTAATTAAGTTTCTCTGGTATTTAAGGACACAAAAACAAAGTAAACACTTTAGCTTTATGTATAATTAATAAAAAAAATTGAAAACCAACATTTTGACAAATAATTTCGCGAAAAACGTTGCAGCTCTTCTTAGGAAAAACATAATAATGATAACATTAATGCTAATATTAATGCTAGTACAGTTACTAACACTGCAGCGAATACTGACACTAATACTAATATTACTACTGATAATAATACTAATACCAATACTAATGCTAATACTAGTACTAATATTGATACTAATATTAATATTAACATTTATAATAATACAAAAATGACTATTAATACCAATATTAGTAATATAATAATAATACTGCTAACACTAATACTAACATTTATAATAATACAAAAATGACTATTAATACCAATATTAGTAATATAATAATAATACTGCTAACACTAATACTAACATTTATAATAATACAAAAATGACTACTAATACCAATATTAGTAATATAATAATAATACTGCTAACACTAATACTAACATTTATAATAATACAAAAATGACTACTAATACCAATATTAGTAATATAATAATAATACTGCTAACACTAATGCTAATACTAATATATTTGGAGATATCATTTCGCAAAAGACTCTGTAGCCCCAGTTAAGAATAACGTAATAATAATAACACTAAGAAAACAATAAATATATTAATAAATAATAATCGGTGCAAATATTTGGTTTTGTTCGGAGGTAGCACCGGAAAATTGGTTTCACAAAAATAACATATAAGCGATATATTACAAACGATTGAAGTGCTTTTTTTCCTTTGGATTTAAACATTTTATACTAACAACAAAGATTAATTAAAAACTAGATTCAAATGCATTTTTACAACCTTTTATTTTGAATTTCTCATTGTGAAAGCTCTTTCTAAATATCTCTTTCTATCACAACCAGAATTGTTGAAAGCCAACAACAAGTTATTCATGTATATTGCAACTGACACTATCTTGTCCTCTCTATACGGGACAGCTAGATATAGAACTTGATTTGAAATCTTCAGTCGACTCTATCACATTTATGGTGTGAATTACTGATTTCACCGCAGCTCTGACAGCTCTTTTGCTGACTTGCTGCTGACAGCTCTGAAGAATGCGCAATCATTTTAAAACTGATGCTTCCGCCTGCTCTGCTGATCTTATCACTAGCTAATGGATTTTCGAAAATAATGATTGCCATTAATCGTCTATATTAGGAATTTACAGAATCATCGCGACTCCGAAAGCTGCTGACTTGCTGATTATTATTGATCGTACAATAAGAGAATAAGTTGTATCGAAATTTCTCCTAGCCGTTGTGAACTACCTTTTGCTAGCAGAGATATCTATTTCAATTAATTACCTGTTTCCCAATACCATTTCCTATGTTTGTCTTGGCAATATTGCAAGCATTTCATTGTCAATTATCTTCTCCTAGCATTAATCATCATTGTTACTGAATTCATTTAGATTTTTCAAGGGCGTTATATTTGCAACTTTGTCATGTTCGTATTCGATAAGTTCTTTGTCATCGCTCATCGTACTCGAATTTACTGTCTAGCTTTGTGCAAAAATCTTTCTCTAATTTTTATTTTATCACCCTTAGAGATTTTGTGATTTTCTTTACTTTTGATTTCCATGCGTATAAAATCCTTTAAAAATTTGTCACTTAATTTTTACACTTGTTCGAGTTTTCTGTGTTCTCTACATTGTATGGAATATCTCCACATAAACGTTTCCATAGGCAGCAGTTACAGTTATGTATTTGATCATTTCCATAAAGATACGATCCATACACTCCGAAAGATTCTTTTGGTGCAGAGTGTGGAGCGCAGTCATTTATCCACTGCCATGTTTCTTCAGTTACTTGCCAAGGAAATTAATGTCAGAATAAACATACATTAGGTACATTTTACAGCAAAAACTTGTTACTTGGCCCGTCCCAGTAGTCTTTTTATTATCAATTTTTTTTCCGCCACAATAATAATAAAAACAGATAAGAGAGTTATATACGGAGGGTACCGAATCTCGCATACTCACCGCTATGCTTTTCTCATTATACTTTTCAAGTTCTTTTATTTGATCGCTAATATTATTAAGAAAAAGCTAATCGCGGTGTCTACCATATAAAAAGTAAAAGTAACCCATTTTTTAGGCAGATAATAATATCTTTATTTAAGGAGTGTACAAAATGGTTGTAAGCTTTCGGTCTTGTTTGGCTTATTATAAATAACCATAAAACCAAAAAACTGCAAAAGACAGAATTTAATCATTTGTAACTTTTTGTGGCCATGGCAGATGTTTTTTATCTTTGCACGAAGGAGTAGAGTGCTTCTTAAAGTAAATGTGGAAACTTTCAGCCTTCTAAGTTTTATAATTTCCAAGAAACGAACAAAAATCCAAAAATTGTTGTTTTAAAAAAACCGAGTTGCGTTTAGTTTTCGCTTCGACGGATCTAGCCTATTTTCAACACCAACCCGCGTGCAGAAATTTCCAATGTTTCTACCAAATTTGAAGTCTATATCTTAATTATTGCGACGAGGGGAGTACCAACAACACACATCGCACAGATACTTAGACGGACAGACATTGCTTAGTCAACTCAGAATTTCACGCTGATTAAGAATATATATACTTTGTTGGATCCCTGAAGTTTTCTTTTGGGTGTTACATACATTATGGAAAAAAACAAAATGGGTATGCCGCCATCTTACAGTGGTGGGTGTGAGGGTAGGCATTGAGGAGCGCAGCCGTAGTAAGAAAAAACGCTTTAAGAAACTAAGCTCATAGGTAGCTTACCGTGTCACCAAAGCGATCCATTTAATAGTAGGCCGGGATTTTTTCCTGTTTTAGCACGAGCATAAATGAATAAATAATATTATGTATTACAACATACACAGTATTAGGTTCGCTTTATTAGTGACTCCCCGCGAACTGCTACGTTGTGCGCTCTAATTATTCATGTTTTGTTAACTGTAGTCAGAACATCTTGCGTTTGTTATCAGTTGTCCTCTTTTTGAACTTTACTATTTATTACTTATCCTACTACAGTATAGCAGTCATTTTTATCCACTTATTCTTATCAAAAACATCACAATCATTGCCCGTTTTTCGGTACACACACATTAACTTATACCAGCAGTACATATCAGCAAAATTTAATTCTTTTTATTCAACATTTTACAGAGCTATTACAAATGCCCTATTGTTTAAAAAATTTTTCTAATTCAAAAATTTTTGATGACAATAATTACTCTCTATTTTGTTATAAAATAAATAAATTCTCTTTACTCCCACCCAAGTGTGCATTTGGGCAATGAAATGGGAGAAAACATATTGATGTCAATAGTTGCAATAATTATAACGTAAGAACAGTACCAAAAAAAGCAGATAATACCAAGCGTAGTAGTCAAGTAAAAACGCGAACCCATAAGCGAAATATAAAAAATGAAGGTGGACAAAAATACAACGGCGGTATTCACATAAAGTGCTTCTGAAATAAAAGTGACAAAATTGGTCCTCCCTAGATGCATAGCTACTGTGCTCTTAAGTAACCAAGGGAAAGATAAGACAAACGTAACGTCTATCGTGTTAGAGGCAATCGCACTGCAAAGTGCCATCGAACCAAAACCTATGGCGTTGAAAGAAAGGGCGAAATGGTTGATAACGAAATAATTTATACTAATGTAATCAGTTTCATACCTTTTTTTACAACAGTGCGACAAAATAAAAGTTCTGGTACGCTTACAGCAGCAGCTAATAAAGTCATATTCATTATAACATCCGGTATATCTAAATGAAAGCCTATATGAAGCACACTATATTAAAGGCAATCACAGGTTACAGTATCCCAATCCACTCACCGATTACGGTAGCCGTCCAAGTGATTACATACATTAAAGTTACAATCCATATCACGAACATAATGAACGATAACAATGACAATCTACGTGTGAGCCGTCTTTTGCAATTTGGTATAGTGAAAAAGAAAGCCAAATGAAATGGATATGTTAGGATCCAGTTAAATTTTACATATAATTTGCCTGTTGGCCACTTAAAGAAATTAAACGGCGAGTCAGTTTCATATTCTCTTATTTTCCCTTCGTCCTCAATAACGGTAGCTTCTACTCGAAAGCATTTGCAAGCACATTCGCGATCCGTCCCTAAAATCAAATAACGTTCCAAATTTCATTGTAGTTTCTGATAATTCTGCAAAATTACATACTGCGACAGCGGTTTACTGCCACACGGTTGAGAAACAAAAGCCAAACTAAATACATTATAAAAATTATAAGTAGTGTTAAGGCTTCCATCCACTCGATCGTTCCACTAAGAAGGAATCCAGTCAGCATTCCCACTGAGAATGAATACAATAGAATTTCGCGCGTAATAGGCCACCAATCCATTGCTATACCCTTAAAACAGGAGATATATGGCAAAAATTAAATGATAAACTTGTAATGAACTGATAGAAATTGTCTTACGAACCATTGGCCCTGACAAAAAGCCACACATCGCCGGTATTGCTAAAATATTGAATACTGATGACCCGATTATGGTTCCAATGCCTAAATCACCTTCGGTAAAAAGGGTAGCATAGAGATTTATAAAAATTTCGGGTGCTGAAGAAGCGCCTGCTATTAAGATAGCTCCACTGACATCGCGCGTAAAACCGAAAGCTAGGACATACTACCAGAGTTTGAAAGACGTTTACACATCAACTGTAAAATAAAAAATTTAACATACTACTGGAGATGCGTTCCACCGCAGGAAAACCGTATTCACTAATGAGCTCAGCGATACCTAAGACACAATATAAGCCTAAAATAAGACATAAGGCAATTAAATCGTAACGGGGCGGTTCTTCTGTAAACAATTTTGGATAATCATCGATAGCACGTAGTGAACAATTTAGTTGGATCTTTTGTACTTTTCGGGTACTAATAACTGCAAGAAGACAACATTAATACGAAATGCTTTTTTACCCATTTTCGTCTTAGAAGCACACATAATTTACTTTTCGAAACATTTCGCATACGCATGAATACTTCCATTCTGTAATTTTTATAGTTTATTTATGATCGACTTCACCAGCGAAAGCGCAACTGAAGAAAAAAGGCGCAGGAAAATCGTTACAGAAATATCCGATTTTCAACTAATTCGCAAACGTCTTATTTTAAAAATGTTTATTGAATTACTAAACTCTTGTTACTAATGTAATTATCTGCGAATTCCCAGGGAAAAAAAATTTTGTAATATTTTTTGTGAAAAAATTTTGTAATATTTTTTGTGAAAAAATGAACACAATATTCCTCCGTATCAATTATCCAGTGATGACCTCGCTGTTACCTAAATTCATATAAAAAGAAGACCTGTGCGAAAGAGAAGATGAAAAGCGGACATTTAATAAGGTGGCCAAACCTCTCCAGATATTATATTACCCTTTTTAGGGCACGTACTTCCTGTACCCTTTTTTTTTTTTTTTTCTGCCGTTTTCTAGTTAGATTAAATACAATATATGATTAGCAAAGAATATTTAAATTTTCTTCATCGGCCGGCTGACAGTCAACCTGTAAAGAAAATTTTGTTTCTCATGTCTCTTCGTTCTCTACCAAAATTCTGAATCCTAAATAGAAATCACAATATTGAAACTTCAATCTCAATTTGCATTATAATAATATTATGAAAACTACATGCAGGTCCAGGGTATTTCAAAGATTTTTTTTAGGATGGAAGACGAGATTAATAATATTTGACGAGGTTCTTAAACATATTCTTAAGCAATTATTTTTGAAAGATATTAAACAGTGACAACACTGAAGCTATCCACGAGTGTTTTGCTTAATTTAAGGAGCTCTGCGGTAAGCGATATAAGAGCTGCAACTTTAAATTACGAAAAGAATATACCTACTTATAGCTGGAAAAGTACAAAGGAGATTTTTAAGACATTGATTGTTGCTCGATTGGCGGAGTATTTGAATGAAAAACTTTATATTGCACCCAAAAAAGCCAGCCTTAAGATAAAGTGTAAAAAATAGACATATCAAAATTCCTGAATGTTTTATTATGTTTTTCCATTGGTCTTTATTCCCAAAATCAAAAGGCGAACATTGTATATTCAAATATTCTTCCTTATTTTCCCTTATCGACAATTTTTTGATAGAAAGAGCCGCTTTTGCTGCATTTTCCCAAACAATTGCACAATTTATATAGGATACGGAAAGCAAATGTACAGTTCTATAGTTGAACTCGCAATCAATTGCAAAACAGCGGTCGTACACTCTTAATATTTACCAAAAGCATTGAAAGTTTTAAAATCACTCTCAGCCCCACATCTGATAAACAAACGCATTGTTACGACAATGCCATATTTGATGATTTGGGTTTTCATGAAAATTAAGCGATTTTCTAAGAAACCAAATAATAAAGATAGAGAAAACCCAAGTACACATTCATGGCGCGTTACCTGTGTCATGCAGTGGATGACTGGCGAAAAGGCCAAAAACAATTGGCAGAAAATGTAGCGGGAAAATGGATTAACGGTTTAAATATATCGCGATTAATTTAGGTAGTGGTAACTTGCTTATAAAAGGGTACATAAGCACGATATTTGCGAAAGGTAAAGTGTGTCGTGAGAGTCGAGCCAAGATAGTTGAATTGCAATATTCGAACGGATACGACCAGGACGAAAACTAAAAATATAAGTTCCTGTAAATAATTCGTAAATAGATTCCCTAAGGACTGTAATAAAAACTATACTAAAAATCATAATTCAGCGGTACAAACTTAATCGCAAAGGGAGTTGTATAAAAGCGTAAAAATCGAGAAAGACAAGCTTACGTTGCGGTATATTTGCTTGGGATTGTTTTTAAATGAACGTAAATACGTTTGTTAATCGATTCCTCATGCTAAACAAGAAGCAAGTCAGTAGGGTGTAACTTTTCAACAGGGATTCTTTTGACACACGCACCCTTCTCGCAGTACTTGGCGTAAAGTCCGAAATTCTGAAGAAATAATTTCCAATAGGTAACAAATTATTCCCGCATATTTTAGAAGATTCAAAACATCGGCTTAGCTAAAAAAAAGCTTTTCGATGTAAAATCGCTATGGTAACACCCCTTGACGCTCATCGTAGATGTTTTTGCTAAATGTGCACATATCGCGTTTTAGACAAATTTAAGCTCGCCCTCTGTACTTCATAATTTTTACATTATAGTTGACAAGTTGTCAGTCGTTTACTTCCGTATTAAAATTGAATCTGCGAATACTTTTGCCAATTTCAATTAAATAAGAAATTCTCACAACAGTGGAGTAGCTGGATATAACAAATATGAATCTGATGCTGAGCGAGCATATATGTTCTTTATGGAGCGCCCGATGCGCATTTCATCGCAACTGCTTTGCACAGTGAATTACGTAATGTTAAGCGTGCAAAGTTTCTATGCATTGTCAACAGACTGGATTCAAAGCGAACGTTTTTACTCTGTATTAGATGTGAGTAATATCTCTATGCTGTGGCGTTAAAGTACGGCGTTTTGAAAAATTTTTCTGTTGTACAAGCTTTTGTAAGCAATTTTTTGATCTAATTTGTAGTAGAACTTTTTGAAAGGCAAGAGCAAAAAGAAACAAATAACGAAAAAGTTTTATTAGAAAATTATTTTAGTACCGAAAGAAATTAAAGAGGCTGTTTATATATTTGACGCAAATATTGTGTTTAGGAAACGCAATGGCTCTTATTTCAGGGAAAGCCATCGTTACAAAAAGTAAGGTAGAGATTCGATAATACTAACATAGCAGAAATAGTTACAGAAAATCTTTCATAGTTCAGCCATTTGCGGCCTGGTCTGGACAGTTGAAAAAAGGTGACGACAATTGCACGATGTTAGGTATTGAGGAATACCCAAACTGGTTTACAGCTCCTCCACCACGTTGGGATTTCATAGTTATTTGCTCTTTGGCTAGCGCTTATTTGTTCCTGGGTTTGGCAGTTGTGTGTGACGGGTTTTGTGTGCCGGCTGTGGAAAAATTAAGAACCCGTACGAAGCTTCCGTTGTTATAATACATGTGTTCTATATGTAAAAACTTTTTTCTTTACATTTAAGAGTGGCATATGTCTTATGACGTAGCGGGCGCCACATTGATGGCGGGTGCCACTTCCGCTCCCGAGTTTTTTATACATCTTTACGCAACAATTATAACAGAGAGTGATATGGGCATAGGCACCATAGTAGGGTCGGCGGTATTTAATGGTTTAGCGATAACTGGAGTGTGTGGTTTAATAGCAGGGTCGGTACGTATAGTATGGTATTGTTTATATTCGCTTTCCCTTTTACAATTCAAGAAAATTTCTTTTAATCACTCTGTGGTTAATTGGTAGGGTATCCAATTAGATTGGTGGCCCGTTTCTCGCGATCTCCTGTGGTATACAGCTGCGGTTGCTGCATTAACCATTTTTATATATGATGGACGTATTCAGTGGTGGGAGGCAACGACGTTGATTGCATTATTCCTGGTAAATACGATCAGTTTATTTTTGGATCGGAAGTTACAAAAAGCTTTTCGGAGTACGTAAAATGAATTTTGTGCACAGAAAATTTTTAATTATGTAGAAGTCGATTACAGAACCAAGCCGAGAATGTATATGCCCTTGTTTTAGACCGAAAGGAGAAGTTTTTGATTTGTTAGACCATGAGACGGATGAAGATGAGGACAAGGAACCACCATTCGATTTTTGCCGATGGCCTGCAGAAGGAGGTTGTTGTAGTGTATTTCTTTGGATTTTGTCGTATCCATGGGAATGCGTGCTTTTCCTCACTATACCAAACTGCAAACGGAGGCTAACTCGTCGATGTGCTCTATTCAGTTTCTTCTTTTCGATTGGCTGGATTGCCATTTTAACTTATTTACTTTCCTGGATGATAACCGTAATTGGTAAGTAAGATTTTTATAGGCTGAAAGTAATTAAAATACCCTGCTCAACTAGGCTTTAACATATTTGTGCCTGACTCTGTAATGGGAATCACATTTTTAGCAGCAGGTACTAGCATACCAGAAATGATATCCAGCTACATCGTTGCGAGAAAAGGTATAAAATTTGTTTTTTTGTAGCTAATACAAAATTGCCATTTTTTCTATCATTCCTTCTCTCCTTGTTGAACTTTAGGTTACGGTTCTATGGCAGTTTGCAATGCAATCGGGTCTAATTCCGTGGACATATTATTTTGTTTAGCTGTACCTTGGCTTATAAGATCACTCATGAATTATCCCAAAGTGAATTTCGTTTCTTTTAATTCAAAAGCGTTGTATCAATCTACCGCAATCCTTTTTTTTTTCATAATGGTTTTGTATATAACGTTTATGATTAACCGATTTCGTCTAAACGTAAGCCTTGGGGTTTTCTGCATGAGTATGTTTATTTGCTACGTTGTGTTCGCGTCGCTCATTGAATTGAACATATTTTTCGAAGTTAATTTACCGAATTGCCCGCTCTCCTATCAGTAAATTGTAACTAAGGCGGCGTAAATTTATATGCGGGCACTTTTTAGTCAGTGGTTAATAATCATCTAGATATATACTGGGTTTTTTTGTAACGTGAAAAACTTTTCTAGTTTGGCCTGTCCGGTGGACATTGCAGTATTTAAATCTTTCTTAGAGTTTCTTTTTTGTCTGATGAGTGAATGAGATGTGGAGAAATGAAGGTTATGGATCGGAAATGAACAAAACGATAATATTTAATTATTTACTTCCAAATCTGTAATCAAGTCGCAATTAAAATTAAGATGCAGGTTATTTTGTTATTAAAATGAAATTCTATGTACATTAAACACCATTAAAATTGAAGTCAGAAAAATAATTTAATACACGTATTCATCAAATGAAGCAAATTAAAAAGTTGTGGGTGAAATAAACTCATAACGGATTGAAGACCAAAGAAATAGACAAAATTGTCAACATCTCAACTTAACATCAAATACTTCATACGAAAAATTAAACAGAAAATCACTGGCGTCGATATGCGCGCGTTTATCATGTGAAAGTGGCGTGAATAGCAAGCGAATCCTTTGAATTAAGAAAAGATGTCTACTTACTTTCAGCATCCTATGGAAAGTTTAGTACTTTCTGTGCTGCGTATTTTATACTATTAGCTTGTAACTACTATAGGTGTTCAAATAATGTAATAATTCAAGTTTGAAGATTGAAAGAAGCACATAGTTTCCATACGATTTTCCGTTCTCCTTTTAATTTCACAAATACACATCAGAAGTCTCATAAGTATCGTCTATTCTTCTGTGTATGTCTGTTTGCCTGGCTGTTTTTGCAGAGTTTATAAAAACATTTAGCAGTGAAGAGATACACAGCAACCATTCTTAATACTCTAAAAAAATCAGAAAAAATTATATGCGATAAATTTTTAATGTATAAATAAAAAAATAAACATCAATTTTTATTGTAGCGTTACGAACTATACTATGTAAACGTACTGGGTGCTTGGATGTATTGTGATCATTCATTCAGTTGGAAAAGGCATTTATTGAGAAAAATTGGTTCAATCAAAATATTTTCAATCCTTTTCTACAATTTTCTCCATCTTTCTGCCATTATGGCCATACCATGACGAAAGAACGATTTGAGATTGGTAGGGGCCCAATCATCGGCCTATTTTCGCTCTTTTCCGGCGCTTCGAAACCACGTGCCAACTAAGCCATGCTACCTCGATCTGAACAAGTAGTATTCAAAAATGCTATCTTCGGCGAGCACGCTGGCTGCCGCAGAACTTCCCATTCAAGCTGCAACGGTGTGTGGTTGACAACTCTTGCAACGTGTGGCCGGGCGTTGTCACGCGAAACTTTGCGTCTATTAACCGCTATTGGCGTCATTTTTGGCAACAATATATCGTCCAATTTGATCAATTGATCTCGGTAGACATCTCCAGTAATAGTTTCAATCAGTTTTCAGTTTTGTCAACTCCTATTACACATACGCAACAAAATTTTATGAGCATAAATATTCGATGTCGATATGGAAGGGTCTCCTGAACTAATTCATGCCATTTTCAGTCAATTTCTATGGTAAAAATTTTCGTCTTTTTGAATTTTTCCCATAACATGTAAATGTCTAGAAGCAGGTGAATTATCAGATGTTAAACTGTTTGAAAGTTTTCGAAGAATTTGAGCTAGATTTTCATTCAATAAGTCTTGCAATTCATTGTCTTCGAACTTTTTTGGTCTTCCAGGGCGTTCTTTACATTCTTTACGTTTGACATCAAAATCAGCAGTTTGGAACCGTTGAAACCAAAAAGGACAATTCGGATACGATAGAAGTGCTTTACAAACAACAAGAGTAACGAATGCTGCAAATGCAATTTTGAGCGTTCCATGATTAGCGTTTATAAGCACTGACTATCTCAATACTAAATGGAAACTTTTTTTTTTATACAGAAAGCTAAAAATCATAGAATTTAATCGCTATGCACTAATTTATAAAATAAAGAACAATTCTAAGTTAGGCTTAAGGGATAATTTTAAATATTTTATTGATTTATTTAATTGTTCTACAACATTATTTTTTGAATTAATAAAAAATTGGTTTGTATTTCTTGATATGAAAATTTTTATTGAAATTTATTGAAGTATTTCGCGAATATAACATTTAGCATTCTTCAATGTGGAATAAACTATAAAGCTAAGACAAGCTGTACTTGTTACATTCATACCTGCTTGTTATTATTTTTCGTACAAACACACTTATATACCTTTGAGGGAAGGCGACGTCATATCAAGAAACTATTAACAGAGTTATTGTTTATACAAATTAGAGAATGAAAGAGCAAACGGTCAAAGAGCTGCTAATTAACAGCGTTACTACTGCCATCGGCAATAGAAACAGAAAAAGTTCGTAATGGTCTCTTAGTTTGAATTTTAAAATAAATGTTGAACCATCTTGTCATCTCCTTGTCTTTAATTATATTTATTATTGCTGAATTAGCCTGAAAACAAAATTTAATATTATTTTCATGCATTACATTCGCGAAAATAAACAATCTCGTCGCGAATGAAACTTCAGCGCTCATATCCATGAAAACATCAAAATTATAGTGGCATGTGTGCACGCACACTGATAAACCGAAGGAACTGAAGGACTGACTTAGTTGCTACTTCAATTGCATCAGATCAGCCTTCTTCAAATCGATTTTCGAATTCACAGTACTGAAGTTATTTTAGTGCGGTAATAGCCGAAGCAACTTCTTGAACGAAAACTTGGCTAATATCAACATAATATATTTGCAAAGGTTGGTTCCCATGAAAATGACGCACATTATTATATTGCTTGAGCGAAAGTGTATTGATTTTGCTATCTATCTATATTATTTTGGAAAAACATATTTAATTTTTGGGTTTACCATCACTTGACGGCAATTTTATGAATTTTGTAATACCCCATCGCAGTTAGAGTCACTCTTTAGTTCATTCAACACGAGTTATTTTGATTTTGCTTCTCTCCATCCCTGTTCTAGACAAGAATATGAAATGAAATAATAATTTTTTTTTTTGTTATTTAAAAATAATAAAAAAGAAAGTTATTACATAGAAAATAACAAAAAAAACCAGATAATTCCGCTAAAAATTAATAATAAAATTGATTGAAAACTTTCCACGCTGTTGAAGTAACCTTATCTGTTATTCACTTTAACGATCTCGAATAAGTACGCCTGCCCGCATGCATAGATAGATTCTTGAATTACATTCGATTCCATAAAATACGAAATTTTCTGTTTTGAAAAATAATCTTGCAATGATCGCTCAACATTGAAACGAAGCAATGATAACCCAATCAGAGTCTTATTTACAAAAATAACGTACGCGCGTACCGTCTCTTTTGATTTTATTTTTGCTGTTGGGCTCTTTTTCTTCCACGCTCTGGCTGTTAAGGTTTTTAATTAATTCGCCATTAAAACGACAACAAGATGTCAATTCAAATAAAATTTTACTTATACAAAGAACGACTTGAAAAATTTAAACTAAATTTTTGGTCAACGGTTTTATTGTGTATTATTATTTTGGTATTTTTGGGCCAATTGTTATTAACATTGTTGCGTAATAGCAAACAAGATCGAAATAACGGTGAAAACGCAATGCCTGGTAAATAAAGTATAAACTTTTGATTAAGTTATAATAAAAGCTTCTTAAAATCTTTTTCTAAAAAATTTTGTGCTTTCGGGTGTTAAGTTTTCTTTTATATGTACATTTTACTTATAGTTCACTTGCAACGCAATCTTTTAACTAAAGATGTAAAGGCAAATCAGTGTACAATGGCAGCCATTCTACAATTTCCTGACGACGGCTTGAGTCGCGCGCAAAGATTGCACGGTTGGATTATTGTACATATAATTTTGACAGTCTACGGTTTTTGGATTTTGGCTGTCGTATGCGATGATTACTTGATACCATGTATTCAACAGATTTGTAAAGGCAAGCTTACGCAACGAACAATATATATATATATGCATATATATGTATATATGTATATGTATATATATATGCATATGTGTATGAAGTATCAGCAAACATTTTTTCTTTCTTTCTTTTACAAACCAGAAAGTATATATGTTTTTTTTTAAACCTAATTGATTATTGGCAATTGGTCAAACATATTTCAAGCGCTTTTTTAATGATAATAATAACAATATTGCTATAATAAAAAAATTACAACCACTTAACTGATTTCAAGTAAAACATAGAATTATTAAAATAAATAAAATCCGGACCTAACATAAATTTGTTAATTCATTTAGGTTTCACAATCGATCACGACATCATTGGGGCAACAATTATGGCAGCGGCTGTCTCTACACCAGAATTATTTATAAATTGTGTGGGAACGTTTGTCACGAAAGGAGACATCGGTGAAAGTACTGTGGTCGGTTCAGCTATATTCAATATGCTAGCAGTACCTGCTTGCTGTGGCCTATTTCTTGATAATTCCCTAAAACTCGACTGGTGGCCAATTACCAGAGATTGTTTCAGTTATATGATGGTTGTTTTAACATTGCTAGGTATTGTGGTGGATGGCCGTATTATGTGGTACGAGTCTTTGTGTTTGGTCATCGGGTACTTTGTGTATATGTTAGGTAAGTTATCTTTTTATCCATGTGGTTATTTTGACGACAAGCAAGCGAATAGCTTGTAACAGTAATACCAGATTAATGAAGAGCATATTTCTTAAGAATATTCATTTTTTCGGCCACATTTTATTAAAGAAAATCAAAACAAGGAATAATAATCCTTTTAAAGAAATCATTGATGTCGCGAAAACTTTTCTTTTTTGTTGATAGTTAACTATTTTGAACTATTTATAGTGACCATGATGCATATTTTTAGCAAATTCTAATGTGGTATTCGCTCTAATATGTTGTTCTTGTTGCTTTCTCATATATGCATACATCTTTATATATACGTGACCTCAACATATTAGTAAGCACGATCAATCACTCGCAAGATTTTCGCATAATATGTATTGCAACTCCTAGGTACATTTGATGGCACTTATTAACATAGCGAAAGTATAGCATACACATGAAGACAATAGCAGTAGGAACTTAGCGTAGCAAGAGCTGTATAACGTTATTTCACATTAATATATTAGAAGCTATCTATCTTCACATGCGTTATGTTGCTGATGTTGATATTTTTTTTATCGAACGTCCCCCATTTGAAACCTTTTTAATAGTTATGTATCACCACAAACGCGTCGCCTACAAGACGCGCCAGTTTATATTAGGCAATAGAAACCATCGTTATCAGCAAGTCACTGAATTCACTCCTTTAATATTGAAAGCGGATATGAAAGGACTGAATAACGGTTATTCGCATTATAGTCTAGCCTGCGAAGCACATTCCTGCCCGAATTTAACCGAATCGGGAAAAGATACACCTACTGAATTAGGTTAGTAGAAAAAAAATTCGGAAAATACTGTTTCAAATTAAAGGAGCTAACCAAATCCTTTTAGGTTCAGATGCCACGCACTGGTCATGTGATAAGCCTAATTGCTTAAAATATCTTATGAAATTGCCAATCATCTTTATACTCTCGTTAACTATACCAAAGTTCCATAAGCATCCTAGACTGAAGTATATTACATTTTTATTTTCCATCTTATGGATCGGAGGAATTTCGTATTTGATGGCTTTTACTATAACCATAATAGGTAAAAGCTTAAGTTTTTTATGCCATTCTGTCTCTTTCTTTATTTGTTATTCTATTTTGATATTTTGATCTTTTTTCTTGGTCTGTTTAGGAGACACCCTTGGTATACCCGATGGAGTTATGGGTTTAACAATTTTGGCTATTGGAATGACTATACCCGAGGCAGTTTCCAGTATATCCGTCATTAAGCAAGGTTACGGGGTAATGGGGTTAAGCAATTCGCTGGGTTCTAATACTTTCAGCATTCTCTTGAGCCTTGGTTTGCCCTGGCTTGTCAAATCAATTTTTTTACCAGAAATCTATTCGCAACATCTGGTCGTATTACGTTCAAGCGCTTTAATGTACAGCTGTTTTATTTTGTTAATTTCGATATTTATTTTGTATACAACTTTTTTATGTAATCGCTTCACGCTAAATAGTAGAACAGGATTCATTTGTCTATTTATGTATGCAATGGTAATAATTGCAGCGATATTATTAGAATTAAATATTTTCATTTCTGTTAATTTGCCTGCTTGTCGACATTAAAAGTTTATTCATTTTCAATTTTTAAAATACGTTTCTAAAAGCTTTTTATTGCAAAATAGTAATTTAATAAAATTTTTTCATTTAACTTCATGAAATTTTGAAAAACGCCCGAAGATCAAAGAAATTTCAGGGTTAAAATTTGTTCAATATAAGATTTTGTATCATTTTAACCATATCCCCCTGTTCTTATATCCTTTGGTCTTTGGGTTGTTGGAATTTTCATTTCGTAGAAATAAAGATTGGAGACGTAGAAATATAAATATATAAAATTTTAGTTGACAGTTGTGACATCAAAAAAGCCTACAAAAGAATTAAAATACTAGATCTAATATTAATATTGTTGTCAATAATTCCCAAGAACTTTAGCAGATTTTCTTTTCAACTTTCTATAACGAAATGATCTCGATGAGACACTGGGCGTGTCTGTCGTACATAAAAACTTTATGGTTAATGGAACGCTAAGCAAGCATAGTTTGCACCAAAACGGCTCGAAACTTTTTCGTTCTCTAATTTATTTTTTAAATCTCATTACGGAAGCGTAGGGATATAATGCTACAAAAGGGGCCCTGTTCTTTACGTAACGCGCCAAAATACGTTATGGATGTGCTTAATTAGTATCAAGCACTTTAAACAACAGACGAAACGCAGCTGATAACAAAAAATGCATTCTGCTATCACAGCTATTCTGCTGTTAAGTCGATGGAATAAATATCTCAAGCAACCGTTGCCTTTTAGGCGTTATAAAGAAATACGCCCAAAAATTAGTGTACATCTATTCGTCGGCGATGCGAATAAATTTTGCCAGTATTGGCCCTGCAACAAGGATTGTACTAATATATGGTATACGCTGTGTATCTCGAAATTTGTGAGCATTATGCGAATATATCTAAGAGTGAAAAGGGCCGGTGAACGTATACATGGATGTGGTTAAACGTTTATTTAGTATAAATCATTACTTGATTATTAGTCTCTGATGAATAGCACGACTGGATGTTATAACTGGTTCAATATTGGATACAACAGAGTGAAACAGTATTAAGTGCGAAAGGTTTATATTTCTTAATATGATGCTTAATAATGGTGAAGATACTTGGAAACTTTCTTTCATGGAATCTAATCCAATCATGATTGCCCTCGGCAGTTTACAAACGTAGCTTTCAGTGTTTAAAAAAAGACATGATTCAAAATTAATAAAAGGGAAAATGTAAAAGTAAATACACAAATCATAAATATTCGGTTGAAAAAGATAAAAAAAATATACAAATAAAAACGCTTTCGCTTAACGTTTAGAGTGAGCGGTTGTAACTTCTAGTAAGTTGTTAAGAGCATCAAGCAGAGGGTTTTTCGATTACTACTCTTATCATGTTCATCTCTTTGTGTAGTAATATCAACGCGTTTTCTACTCTATCGCTTTGCAGCGATTTCTCTTTTTTAGAAGAATGGAAGTGATATTAAATCGAAAGATGTCTAAATCTAAGCCTTCGATTTCAAAAGGGAGCAACGTGAAACATTTTCTTTCATCGACATGAAAGCGTACATACTTCATTCACCTAAATAATTTAAAGCTAATTTTTTTATATATGCCGAAATGGGTTTCCATTAAAATGGCATTGCCAGCAAATTTTTGACCATCGTTGTTTTAAAGAGATTCATCGTTACCAGCATTTAGGAAGGATTGCCAGTCTATCTATTATATATTTAGCATCTTATATTATCGGCCTTAAATCATGATATCCCGAATGATTACATTTTGTGGAGCTTGATTAACTTTTTCTTTTCAAGTCCATCACGAAATAGTTCAAATTTCTTATATTCATTTTCATGTGTTTGCACACTTGGCCAATCTTATCTGAATTGTCTGGCTGTCTCTTTATCTTACTAGCTCTCTTTCCGTTTACTTCAATTAAAAGGAATGACCAACCACATAGAAATACTCAAAAGCATAGCGTAACAAAATCGACAGCAGGACACGAAACGCACTTAATTTATTGTTTGCAATACGCGCGAGAACAAATAAGTTATAGTACCGTTAAAATAATTGCGTGTGTACCGCTACAAAATTAAAAATAATAAAAATATTTCAGTACCAACAAATTGATTTCGAAAAAAATTTTAATATATTAAAATAAATTTAAAGTAAGTTAAATTAAAAAACAAATTAAAGCTGTGTTGTATACGAATCCGAAATATTTTAGTGCCACAAATTGATTTCAAAGAAATATAAAGATATTACAATAAATTTGAAGTAAGTTTAATTAAAAACGAAAATAAAGCTGTGTTTTCCTCGTATACGAATCCAAAATAATTCATTTAGGTTGAATATATATATAAAAGCGTGATCTAATCTAGTTGTTATTATTTACTAGTCATGTGTAAATATTTCTTTTAAGTTCTTGTCATTTCAAAAATGTATCAATAGTAAACAGAGGGACGGAAACGATTAAATGAAAATCCATCAAACTCTCTGTGTGAACGTCCAGTGCTAAGTTGCCATTTATCCATGGCATCCGTCCAATTATGGAATCATTTACCGATGGACGTCAATTAATAGAATGTCGCTTGCTAATCTTTTGTATATCAATTAGTTAGTCTTTAATCTTTTTAATAAATAGCGAAGCAACAGTCTGTGTATTTCGTGTTGTATGAATCTCATTTAAGGAAGATATATTTTGAGAAAGTAAGAACAATATAGTCGGGTAAGATCGCCCCATTGAAATGTCCACCAAGCGCAAAAATGAACCTCACCACTGGACTGAAAATTCGATACGAAAAATCGTCATTCAAACGCTGTTGCTCGAGTCCCCCGTCAACGTATCTTCTGCGTATTGCTGCTTTAGTTGTTCAGGTCTAGTATTAACTGAACTTTATTAAGTTGCAGATGCAAATTCAAATGCAAGATAGGCTATCATGTGCGCAAATACTTTGCGCGCTGTGTAATGGATAAATCTGCACTTACTTGGATACTTTGGTTAACAGTACCAACATTTTCGATTGCGAGTACCTTTTGATGATGTGTAGACCTTGAAAAATCTATTACGGATCCGGTTCCTCCAAATTTCTTCACAGTTTTGTCTACTGTTGATGATGTGTAGACCTTGAAAAATCTATTACGGATCCGGTTCCTCCAAATTTCTTCACAGTTTTGTCTACTGTGCGCGATTATGCCGATCATAATCTCTGCTTGTGATTCACAAAATATGCCTGCAAGGTGTGTAATAAGTTTTCACTATTTTAAAAAGTTCAGCAGTCGTTAAACGCAAATATTATAACATCGCAAACATTACACTAAGCGTATGACACCGTGGATGATAGTTTTCTTTTCCGCATATTATTGAAACAAGGTTGCCAAAACGAAATCACCAAATGATAAGCCTATATTTTTAATATAATACCTTACGTATGCTTTTATTTGCTATTCATCGCTTATATTACTAAAGTGATTTTCTCATTTCTTCGATAAATCTAGTTTTTTGTGCACTGCCTGTGATAGACTTTCCACTATATTATTATACCTGATCTTTCGATATATCATGCAAAACGTGAGCATATGATTAGGATGTGCTTTGGCACATTAAAAGTTGTAACGATAATATAATAGTGACAGAGTCTATATAGCAACAAATACTTTGACCCAAGAGGAAGTCCGCACAGAAATCCGGAATAAAAATAATTTTTAAAATCATATCACGCATATCAAATAACAATGTAAGTCATCTTTAATAATCAATAGCAGAACTTTACTAGTTATTGTATAATTATAAATACGATCGTAATCTATTCATTTGAGGACAATAAGCGAATTAATTTAAATGACTTTTACAAGAAGAAAAGAAAAAGTTTACGCATCTATCTCTCTTTGATATATGAGATATGTGCAGGAAGGTTTTACTAAAAAGGAAAAATGATTGGTTTTTCAAAGAATGCGATCTATCCTGTGAATCCATTTTGCTAATACTCACGAAAATGAACTTGTTATTGTGGACGAAGATAAAAGTTCCATCTTTTGTAGTAAAGAATCGAAAGTACTCGTTATAACGATTATAAAAGAAATTGGGTCTTTCCGTTACGGGAAGATTTTTCATTAATCAACATTATAGTGTGATGAATACAATGGAATTGAATTTCCAACGTTGACTTTTAAAAGGTATATCTGAGTGTTTAAATATTTACAAACGTAAATTGTAATAAAAAGCTTAAAAGTTTCCAACGAAGCTTTAAATTATTTATAAACCAAATGTTTACAATGTTATTGAATGAGTTGTTAACGGAGCGAATAAATAATTTACTCAAAAACGCAATAATCAATGGCACAAAACGGCTACTATATCAATGCCTACATTTCAGGTTTAACAGCGAAGACGAACAAGAAAATGTTCACAATGAAAATGTGTCTGACAATAGTACTGTCGATAAATTTTATGGCGAATTGCAGTAACATCGAGAGGAGAAAAGGTAAGTCCTTCGTAAAAATGATGAAAAATATTCTATAACTGAATAGAAGAACCACTTTGTGAAACGTAATTAACACATTTCACTTGGGTAGGGAGTTTGGATGACTTAGGTCCATTTGTTAGATCCTAACATATATAAGGGTCGTCACGAAAAGCAGATTCTTGTATGGAGGGCAAGTATAATTTCTCTGACGGGAACTGAAAAGTAATAACATATTTAAGGAGCTTTCGGACCCTTAGCTGTTGAGTTTAAGCTTGTAGACGAATTAAGTCCATGTTAAACTTGGAACCAACACGTCAAATTTAAGTCGTGTGGTTTAAGTTTTAATGGTTTTTAAAATTGCAATTTACTAAGAGACAAACGGATGTACATCCAAATACTTACACTTGTCATCTCTTTAGATACCAAATGTTACAAAGGGAATAATAATAAAATAAGTGTACCGCCATCTTCTGATGGATGAATCACGAGCATTGTAATTTACTTTTTTATCTTCGCTCTAATAATAAAAGTACCGTCAATTTCATTGAATTTCACGTTTTACTCTTTTCCGGTAAAAATAAAATATATAGAATTTATTTGCATTAAAGTGGATATAAAAATAATCGGGTTTTACTAATGACGTACTTACGATTACTGTTATTCTAACTGGGATTCAATTATAAATACGTTATGCTTACAGTTTCATGTAATCGTGTACCAACGCCCATGAACAATACATTGTGGATTGTGTAACTATTTTTTTTTTTTAGGAGAATTTTTTCTGTTTTTTCCAATTCAAAGATAATTTTTCTGACCCAGTTGCCTTACTATGGTTTATGATTCATTGTCATTTCTCTTCTTACGTCTGACAGCTAAGGAGACTCTGTTTGCATTTAAAACGCCATGATGTATTTTCAAATAATCGGGAGAACAATTCCAAGATATTTAGTGGCCTTTATTACGCTGTTTGAAATTGGACTACCGAAAATACAAATTATTAGTTTGTATTTAAAGACCATCTATCAAACTGAATGTGATTCGCCAACGTAAGGTCGAAGGCCTAATATTTGAGAAGATATAAAAATTTTCTAAAACATTCGTTAATGAATTATGAAGTATAACAAATACAACTTTTAACTTTTCCCAGAATCAATGTACAGTCTGTGCAAAAACGTTCTGGATCCTTTCATCAAAACGCCCGCGTAGTAGAAATTACTCCCTAATAGCGTAAAACTAATCTACTACGTCGGCGAGGAATATTTGTTTACAATTTCCATTTTAGAATTTCATTTTGTGAATTTGACTTTTTTACAACGATGGTCAGATGGATCAGACTAAGAGAACTAATGCTATTTAAAAGAATATATTATTGCTACGAATAAGATGTCTCAAAAATGTTGTTCTCAAGGTTAAACACAATAATACATAGACAGACATTAGATGGGCATGTCCTTAGCCCTTCTGAATATAATTAGAAGTAAGCGGAAATTTTTTTATGAAAAACTCTTTCAAAAGTAGTCTAATTCTAACGAACACCTCTCCTTCCCGAATATTTACTCGTTTTATATAGTTATCACTGTATTTTTGAGTTACACAAAATTGTTTATTTTTTACAATCATGTAAATATAGCGAAATTGTTTGCTTACCACGATATCCCCTTCTGTCAATTAGTGTGTCACTAATTCGAAAATTGCAAAAATTATTATGCAAAGTTTTATAACACGAAGAATGAAAATGCGTTCGATTTGCTCACAAATATCCTCTAATAGTTGCAAAACTGAAGCACATTTTATTTATTTACACTTATAAACAATCGCAGATTGGGCTGTTGAAGCGCTTCTTATTATTACAGAAAATGTACTTTCATTTTTATTCGTAAGTATCCTATGCTTCCTACTTCCTTGTATTGAATTCTTGGTATTTTCGTACAAATCCTTCAAAATATATTTAAATTACTTGAAACTAAGAAACTTATATGTATTGCAAGGCAATGGCTGTGATGTGTAATAGAAATGTTTATAGAGAATGTAATCAAACTTTTAGTTAGGAAACGGCCGAGGAACGATCTAATCGTAGATTGTATAATATATATACAATTAATCTAATCACAGATTGTTTGTTTTGGTTACTTTAATATAATGATCAGCGCTTCCGTTTTAAAGATTTTATAATTTTATTACTTGGTTAGTGCAGAATTTATTGCCTATTTGCCATTTGCGGTTGCTTATTTCTCGGTTGATCAATTGTTGCTGTTAAACTTATCCAAATGGCAAAAGTTAAGGTTGAAAGTTGAAAGAAAAAACGTAAATTGTTTTCACGAAGTGTATTTTTAGTATAGCTTCACAGTCGTTGGTGTTTAACGGTATCAGATATTAATTCGTAATCTCCCAATCGGTCCACGAACCTAATATTTAGAAAAGGTAGCGATGTTTTTCACTTGCCACATAAAATTAAAATCAATTGTCACAGTTTTAAATTAAATCGCTAAAATACGTCATCAAAATTATAAAAAAAGCAAAACAATTTTTAAAAATAATGGAAACATATTTAAGTTTTCGTTGTAGGTTTTCATAACCTAGAAAATTATCAATTTCAATTGAATGTCTTGTGTAAATTTTAAGAATTTTACAATTATTTTTATTGGTTATTATTTTTCTTTTCTTTGCACAACTATTATTGAATTGAAACCTTGTCGATTGAGATTAACAGCACGCAACAATTGTGTTTTATTTAAATGTTTGTTATTTGTTGTGTATTAGGTGTGAAAAAAACTCTGCGGTTTCTATTCTATTATTAATGAGTTCAAGTTCAATAAACTTGTGTGTGAACCAATTTCGACATGGTATTGTAAATGCATTTTTAATATATATTCGATAAATTTATAAAAGTTCATAAATGGTAGCAAACCATAAAATAAAATAAATCAAAAGAGAATACAATAAAACAGCGGACACTCGTATATCGAGCGCAAGTGGCAATAATAACCAAATAATTGCAAAGAAGCTTTTAGTTTTTAAATGCGATATATAGAGTCACTGTTCAGATTGTCACATTCGCAATAATGTAAACATTTACTTGCAATAATTTGAGAAAAGTTTTTATACAGCGTATGTCTCTCATTCCGCTATCTGTATCGAATCGGTCTGTTATTCGAATTTTCGTTTGTTCAATTTCAATACAATTGTCAGAGCCACCTGATAATATCAATAATGTTTAGTATCAATGCAATAAAAATGAAACGATTTTATTGTATTTATTTTAGAATATAAAGATCCACGATTGCACTCAGAGCTTTGCATAACTGCCTTAATTTTGTTACTTTGGCTGTCTAACAACCCGAAAGCCATCTAAACTCTAAGAGAGATTATTTATTGTTAGCAGCATAAAAGTTAAAACGATTTTATTTCACTTTTTAATTGCTTTATTAAAGCGAGTATTATTTATTCATTTCTGTATTTACCTAGGTATGTAATTCAGCTACAATAAAATAAGAGCCAAATAAGGTAGGCTTTGAAAAAAAAAATTTTAAACTGAACGTTTGGGCTAACTTTTGTGAATTATAAAAAATAAGGAAAAGCGAAAATATTAAAATCCACATACATATTAAAAGGAAAAAAAGCATATACACATAAAGCACAATATATTTGTTTTAATTTATGAATCATATAAAGCTTTAAGAAATAAAAGTTAATTTAGATACAACATAGGCAAGACGCGCTTATTAAAGAGAGTTCATTTAATGAATCTGATATTGAGACTAATTTATAACATATCACACAATAATGATCTCTGATAGATATGACATCTAAATTGTTGCATAGAACTGTTAACGGATTAAAAAGCTCATAATTATGTCCACACTGATCAAGGTTTATAAAGATAAAATTTCTAAAAGAACGAATACGAACGCTAAAGTTAATCTCTTCTAATAAGGCCGGTGAGTCAATTGTATCATTACTAACTTAATTAAAAATGAAACAACTCGAATAAATGAGCGTTTGTCTAACGACGATAAAGCTAAAAGTAGCGATCAATTTCCTAAACGAAAAAAGTAATAATTGCTTTTAAGTAATTCTTTTGAATTAACATGACATCTATAACTATGGTACCTTTATGTCAAAAAAATCAAAGCAAAAAGAAAAAAGAAAATTTCGAAACTCTCCAATATTTCGTAGACGTTGTAGATTTTCTACATTGTTGTGAAGGTACTGTAAGGTCGCTTACACAATATATCGTTGCATCAGTTATATTTTATTGGCAACGAGCAAATGTCTTTGCTTTTTTGTCTTTGAGATAGGAGGTGCTCTTAATTTATGGCATACCGTAAGATTGAATTATTTTCCATATCGATCGGCGAAAATTATTTTCAATGTTTTGGCAAAGTTGAAGTCGATCTCTTAATTTTCGCGACATTCGTGCAGACAGGCAGATGAACGGGTGAACGAACAGAGGAACGAACGAACAAACATATCTAAATCGAGTCAGAATTTCACAATAATCAAGAATATATGCACTCTATAGAATGTACGACATTCCTTCTGAATTTTGCAAACGTTTAGACAAAGTAATTATAACCCCAACCGGTGCTGAATATAAAAACACAATTCTACGTAAATTTATTTAATTCGGAATAGTTTGACAAATGTAGGTAGTGATAACAGATTGAGGAGATATCATATTCTTCGATAGCAAGCTAACAGTGGAACAACGCTAAAGAGAAAAATAACAGCAGAAATACCTCACTTGTTTTTTAGCTGTTGTTGTTATAAAAAATTTTACAACCATGCACTTTTTGTTAAAAAGACACATGCAGTCTTACATACGCATAAGAAATATATATATATATATATATATGTATGTATTTGTGTGTATATATATTTATATACATAAAAGCACTCATTGACATTTATTTACACAAAACCAGTAACGTAAGTTCTCATTACGGAGCACCTCGATAACGTTGTTCTGTCTTTGCTTGTTGTCTGTATGCCTAAGTGTGTTAGTATAAAAGTAGCGATAAAGTTATGAAAAAAGTTTATTTGCTCTTGAAATGTTCAACGCGATCAACAAAAAATTATAAAAGAATCCGTCATTTTCCAATATTAAAAAACGCACACAAATTACAAGACAAAGAATAAAAACGCTTTTATGTTAAATTTGTAAACAACGTGAACGCGAATTTTTTTATGAACCGGCTTTAGCTGTATGTATAACAAATAAAAAAAGATATAAAAATAGAAGAGAATACAAAAACATAAAGAAAGCGAATGAGTGTTTCATAGAAAAATATTATTTAAAAAATGTATTTATTTTAAATTGAAGTGTAATTAATATAGGTTTATTATTACTCGCGCTGATTATATTGCCAACGCGAATGGTCAAATGTCTCAGAAGCTTTTAAAATGATTAAATCAAGTTATTACATAAATAAATTAAAATAAAATTAAAATTAATTGAAATTAATTGGGGAAAAATAATGAGCTGTGGTTTTATAAAAAGTGCTTAAAAATTCTTTCAAAACTAACAGAAAACGAAAGAGCGCAAAGCATAAACAAAAAGAAAATGCGAATTCTAGGTAATGCTATGAGTTTTCTTATTAAAACACCATAAAGATTAATTAAGCAGAAATCCAAGACGTATGAGTTATTCTCGATGACGCAAAAGACAAAACCTTTTTACGCCTACAGATACGCATCGCAAAATCCTATAACTAGTATTTTTTCTTTGGTCAGCGTGAATAACGGAATCGTTACCTAGCTATTTGGCTCTTGTATGTATAACCAATGCAAATCAATCGAAGTGTAAATTAGCACACAGTTAATGAAATTGTGGATATTTAACATCCATCCGATATATAGCGATATGTGTTAGTCCTTTTGTTAACAATATTACATTTGCTCTTCCGGTATATTATGTTATTCTTTAAGTATGTATATGCACACCACGTGAGCTAAATCGGAAAGGAGACTTTTTAATTCGATAATTGTTTTTTCATCTTTTTAGTTATTGCGCTTGATACTCGTATTGATGAATTCTAAAATGTTTTATGAATAGTTAAAGTGTATTCAAAATTTGAACTTATTTGGAGTCGTAGACATAAGTAAAATGTCCATATGAGCCTAAAAACTATTTCTATTAAATATTCATATTTGCAAATATGCATAAATATGTAGAATAGCTGCTAAATAACAGTCGATAATAATACTAATGATAAATAATTAATGAATAATAAGTATCGAATTTGATTTCAATAACGTCGGAGATATACAAGAAAAATATTTAAAAGATTAATAAATTGTTAAATTTATTTTAAAATGGAAAGAAATACAAAAGGATAACGCAAACAATAGAACGCTTTGTTAAAGCCAAAACTGACCGTACTCTTTTTAAAAGTACTTATTTGGCAATATGCACTACAGTTTATACAACAGCAATTTGTATGGATAAAATACAGCCCCGATTTCTATCAGTTCTCCTCTTCCATTTTTTTTTCAACATGCTGCGACTGAAGCAGATGAAAAAGAAAATGCTGGAAGCTTGATTAAGTTATCTTTCCTGTTCACTTTCTCCCGTGTATTGGGCACGCTCACTAACTGCCAGCCATATTCACTTAATAAGTATGACTTCCTCTAGTTTGAGGCCGAGCGTATAATAAGGAGCTTAACAATATTCCAAGTATTGTTGATCTGAGCTTCCATTGTATTTTGTGGTCCAACAATATTATTATCGAATGCGGTTTCATTAATCAAATTATTCATACTTATTACAATAGCAAGTAATAAGTAACGCAACGTAAACTAATTCTTTTCCATAATATATCAAAATAAACTTTTACTTGAAGTTGGTATTATTTTCTTATTATATAGGAACACATAATTGTATTACTAATAGTAAGTAAAGATATTTAATGCAATAAACAGTGGTTAAGTGTGCTATTAAATATGCGACAAACGTTATTAAAGCGAATTAAAAAGGAATTAACAATCCAAAATTAATAGATATTAACACTCAATAGCTTGTGTCACCAAATTATTTAGACTCTAAATAATATTCGAAGGCAATGAAATCATATATAATTTAATCCAAATCTTTTGATATCAACACTAAAGAAGAGGTATTTTTCCGAAAATACATTGCTATGCTGCCAATTAATAGGCTACGCAAATGCAAATATTTTGCTCTAATATGGCATACCCAAGAGCCTCTCATACACACAGCGGCATAACATAATTTCTCAGTTGCTGCATTAATGTAATATATCCGGAAATTGACATGTACACAAATGTCTTACCTGGTCCATGCTTCTATACTATAATGAAAGAATTATTAGTGAACTAAAGCATGTGGCATATCGCTGCCTTACAAATACTTGCTAAACTTAACAACTCTTATCCGCTACGTAAATAGTAATGTGTAATAGTGTAAGTAACAGGCACAGCAGATGTAATATAATCTATGCATACGCGACCAATACGTATATCTGAAAAATGGAATACATACGTACGAGAAACAAGAAACACGCAACAACATTTAGCCAAAATTATTATGCAAATATAACAAATAGATTTTTAAACTTGATTTTTTTTTGTACTCACCAACGGCGAGGTGGCATTCATATTGTCAAAATATGGTCAGTGTCTACGGTAGATATTTTCCTGCTTGCAAAAATGAAGTTATCGATTTCCAATTTGACAGCAACTTTAGACAATTTTTTTATCGAAAGTCGGCAAAATTAGTCAAAGGACATGCCTACAATACAACATAAACTGAAAATATGTCCGTTTTTGAAAGCAAAAAAAAAAAAAAATTGGGTTTTTTACTCAGATTTCACCTTTTTGTATCTTTTTTTTTTTGTGTAAATCAAGCGCGTGGATATAAAAGATTCGGCAAAGACGAATAGAATTTTGATGCCTAAAACCAATTGAGCTGATCTTAACAACAAACGTAGTTTATTTGATTTCTAAAACGTGTGTGCTTTAAAAATTTTTGAGAAAATTTATATGCAATTTAATGTAAAGAACCTAACTTTGCTTGAGATTATTTTTCGATATCCTAAGGTAAAGAAATACTGATAGCCATGTCCTTTTATTTACTACAAAATATTTACATTGTTCTTGTACTCAGTTTTAGCTCAACATTTGCAATAAGTTGAAAGTATTAGTCAATATAATCGAGTTTGTTTTATTTATTTAAGTGTTAAAAGAGAATCTATAGGCGAGCAATAGAGATTTTTTAATCGAATTGGTTGAACTATGCATATAAGCGTGGATCTAGGTTCAGTTTTCTATGAAATCTCAGACATGACTTCCCGGCACTTGTTTTCATAAAAGATATTCAAAATGTTTGATTAAAACTAAAGAAGAACATTAGCCGAAAGCAGCTTAATAAATTCACTTCATTTAATATAAATACAAATAACCGAATACAGGCAGACAGAATTACTTTGAAGTTCTTAGGTGACGTTTTATTAAGAAACATTGCGGTAAGCTAACAAAAAATATTCAAAGCTTTGTTTAACTTGTATATATTAGAGGCAATAAAGCAAAAATAGGTAAATAACTTCAACTTTCTTATTTCTTCAGAGTTTTTTATTAATTTATGTCTAATAAATATCGTCTTATGTATTTACTTAGATAGGGTTGTAAACACAACATGAGTTAATTTTCAATGGCAATAATGATAAAATTCTTAAAAAAAAACTGTTTTTATTACTTTATAACATTTTCTGCAAATGAACTTAACTTTATGACCAGACCTCTAAATAGTTTTTTTCCCATTTTTTTTAATTACACGACGGCCATGACATTGTTGTATGTACGCACGTAGTGATTAGTTATTAAGTTTAAATATTGGAATTTGTTCAGATCCTTTCAGAGGCTAGGGCTTGCACTGTTCTCTTAACGCTCCTGTTCCTATTAATAAAATAAATTAAATAATAAATAAGTTAGTTACTGTTATTGCACTTCATCTGAGTATTACGCATTACGTGTGACGGTTAAATTTTTGCCGATAATTAGTGATTTAAAAAATTTTGAAATCAATTTTTTTCATTATCAAGGTTATGTTAAAAGCAAAAACACGCTAACGGTATCGTTTAAATCCCTTTAATATTAATTTATTGGCTTTAGTAACTAACAATAACTTAATGCGATTTTTTATCAATCATTCACTTCTCTTAAAGAATATAAATAAATAAATAAAAAAATTACACAACTTCAAATTTCATTCGATAATGAAGACCTGTAGCGAAGAACACTGAGCCTTCGAAGTTTCTTTGTAAATATTTTCATATTTCATATCTCTCCTTGAGCCGTATCTCAACTGGCAGCAAATCAAATAGATCGAAATACGGTCGATGATCACCTATTCAAAAATAATTCTTGTTCTAATTACTAAAAGTAATCCGTTCTCAACTTCTTGCGATGAATTTAGTCTCCCGGGACGTCCTCTCTATACATTGTACATTTTAAGGAGAATTTCGGGGCGATGTTTCTGAATACGTGCAATCAATAGAAGGAGGTATGCTTATGAATCGCGCAAAATTTGCAAAGAGTGCAATGATATGGTTGAAAGTTTAATCTTTCTTTGAAAACGAGCGACGTGTTTTTGACCAAAAGCTGGACTAATGCCAGAAAACAAGCATTATCTGCCCAATACGAAGATCTTAATCTTCTTTTCTTCAAACTATCGTTTTTTGGGTGATGATCTAAGCTCGTTAAAGCCTTAAAAGAAAAAATTAAACGTTGAATTAAGCATATTGCTATCAGTGTTGGAAACTATTTTCACAATTAACTAAATAGTGTTTCAACGTTGACAGTTACAAGTACATCTTTAACATAGGTTAATCAAATAAGGGCTTTTGCTTTTAATTTGAAAAAAAAAGACGAAACGGTAGAAGATTTTAGCATGATCGCGTCTGAATTCTTATAAAAGTTCACTTCTGGAACGTCAGTTTCGTATGAATCTTCACTTATCTCATCAATAACACATAATCTTTGTAACACGTTCACATTGACATTTCTAAAGACTGCAACCATCACTGAAGTTTTCCCTTAAAAATGGTACTAAATATCAATAAGCATGTTCTCTAGCGACGGTAGCTGAAGCGTCGTTTTCACTTCCGAAAATCACATTAGTTATTTTTTATGCACGGATCGGCCTTTTAGGAACAACCAGTAAGTTTTCTTTACTCCAAACAGACAATTTTTCATGCCTACGAAACTATTTAATCAGATATGAGTTCCACTTTATTTGCATCAAACAGAGTTCAGTTAGATTCACTATTTTTGTAATACATTTCAAATTTAAATGTGTATTTTCCCATGACGATGTGCAGACAGTACTAAACGCGAACATCAATTTTAGTGGGAATCTGAAAGAACCATAGACAATATGAGTGAAAACGTGTTGAAGCTTCTCCTATATAAGGGGCACAAACTAAAGCTACAAGTAGTTGGCACAATAAAAGCCGCGCTTGCTTGTCTCAGTATATCATTTTATAAGTAAAAGTAAACAAATCTATATATATGTACACAAATGACATATCCAAAAATAGTAGCGAAAAATAAGAAGAATTTCAAATTATAACATTACCAAAAAATCCTCACTATTTATTATTGATTGTTCCACAATTTGGATATTACTCTTTCACATAATATAGTACAGTTTAATAAAACTATATGATATACACATTCTAAATCTAGCCATTTTTAATTTTGTGAAAAATAATGTAAAATGGAAAATAAGAAGAAGAGCAAGAATACATTGGTAAGGTAAGATTGATTTTTCTCTGTCCTTCCTTTGACTGATTACCAAATTTCGTTTGACCTTAATTCATATGTCATTTTATCTCCTCTTGCAGCCAAATAAAAGCCGCCCAAACCGGCAATTCTAAAAATAAACAGTAACCTTTTAACGCCTCCCCTTAACATATTGAAATTTTATTCTGTTTGCATTTGAGACAATCATTTTTTTCTCGATTTTCAGACTTTAATGATACTCTTAACCAACAATCGACAAATTTTGAAACTTTTTTGCAACAATTCGAAAATTTCATTTTTTTAAAAGGGACTTCGGGACTGTCATGTGATGACGAGCAAGAAGGTTCTCCGTTGCAGGAATTTCCTGAATTATTTACGTGTAAGCCATCTTAGAGTTTAAAAAATAATTTGAAAAATTGGTAAAACGCCTTTTTTACTCTTTCGACAGTGGAACAATTACGCCAAGGCTGGATTGTTTTGCATGTATTTGCTGCGGTCTATTTCTTCGTACTTTTGGCCATCGTATGTAATGATTTCTTTTTGCCAACCGTTGAGTGCATTTGTGAGGATTTGAATTTAACGAAGGACGTCGCTGCAGCTACATTTATGGCAACAGCAACTTCGATGCCTGAATTCTTTACAAATACTATTAGTACCTTAATAACAGGTTCTGATATGGGCCTAGGTACGATAATTGGTTCACTAATGTTCAACACGTTAGGTGTAGCTAGTTTAGCGGCTTTTGCTATAAAAAAGGTTTTAGTGAACATATATTTACGTGGAAAATGTTTTCCGTAATATTTTCTTTGCATTTCCTTGCAGCCAATACAATTGGACTGGTGGCCTATTGCACGCGATAGTTTTATTTACGGTTTCAATACCTTGGTTTTAATTATATTAGCATGGGGCGGCAAAATTACTTTCATTGAGTCCAGTATTATGATGGGCTTCTTGGTTTTATATTATTTAATCACTTTTAATAACAATAAATTTATGCCTGCCATACGGGTATTTGTCGAGGATAAGTTGAACTGTTGCTTTTCAACACGCTATGGTAAGTTGACCAAAGGACCAGAATAAACGGAAGGAACTTAAGCAACAAAAAATATATAACTAAATAAGTTTCATCCCTCTAATATTTCACTTGCAGATTTTACTGAACCGCCTGAGAATAGTGCCAAAGCTAGGCTGCCGTTAAAGGCAGAACCTCTAACCGGTAATGGTTTATTTGTTATTAATTTGCCAGAAAGTACTAATTCCATGTCATCTACGATGAATTTAACTCATTCAAAAAGCTGTAAGTAAAAAGAATGATGGGCCGAGAAAAAACGTATATACATGCTTAATTCTCTCCTCAGGGGACGGTGATAGTGAATCTCGTGAGCTGCCAGCTAAGTTGTTTTCTTTACCCTACCAAGGATCCAAGCTAACGAAATTCTGGTGGGCCTTTACGTTCCCCATCAAATTTCTTTTGAATTTTACGATACCAAATCCTAAGAAATATCGTAAATTGTATCCGATATCTTTTCTAATGTGTATTGTGGCTATTGGATTAGATGCATATTTGATTGTTTGGATGCTAACGGCTTTTGGTTAGTACATAAATCATTTTTGATCAGTATAGTTGCTGGAGTTTATTCAAGTTTCTTTTAAAGGTGTGACCATACAAGTGCCGACTATTATAATGGGTCTTACTTTTTTAGCAGCCGGTTCTACGATGCCCGAATTTGTCGCTAGTGTCATTTCTTTAAGAACGGGTAAGTTTGGGAATACAGTTCATCTTCGGCTAAATAATCGTGTATAATAATATCTACAGGTGAAAGTGGTATTGGTGTATCCAATTCTTTGGGTGCAAATTCGTTAGCTATCTTACTTTCTTTGGGCGTACCATGGTTCATTAAGAACTGCATCACCTACGCCAAAGAGGATGATACGAACGTGATTAATATTGCTGCTCAAGGTATTGAGTTTAATATTTTGATTCTTATTTTGTGTACCTTATCGTTGTTCATAGTTCTTAGTTTTAGCGGTTATCGCCTGACCAAACGTGTAGGTTTAGTGCTATTAGCAGTTTATGTGATTTTTATAATTTTACAAATTTCTATTGAAATGAATGTTTTTTTTCCCAAAAAGTGTTAACAAGAACACACTCTGCAAGAAAACGTAAACGAAACATCAATCAATTAAGACTGTTTAGCTAACCGTTCGTACCTAAGAGGTAGTTTAGAGACCTAGATGTAGATTTGTTCTAAACAAAAAAACAAAATTTTAAAAATAATAAATAATACAAGAACGACAGGTGTTATTCTATAGATTCACACTTTAATGAAAAGCTTGTCTTAAAACCTGAAAGTGGATGCAAAAATTGCAAGGATAGCAAGTATCCTTTGACAACATATGTGTCTTTATTCTATTTCAAAATTTATAGTAAATGCAAAGCTACTACACCAAAAATTATCATACAAAACCAATTTTTATTTCATCACTATAAGTAGTATAAGTTTAAGAATTTTTAAGAAAAGTACATACTAGTTAACTTGTTTAAGCGCTCAATATACTCACTATATCTCGATACAGTTAGAATGTAGTCTGTACATGTTTATCTTCTTCTCTCACTCGCCCTCTCCCCCTCTCTCTCTGTACTTCTATATTTCGCCTATTTCTAGCTTTGCCTATTTTTCCCTTACCATCATACCAACTTTCACAATTATTATTTTTTTAAGTCCCTCGACTGTTTAAGTTGCGCTATGTAACATGCCAAAGAATAATCGTATGATACGTTAATCTCTCTTTTTCTTTGTCTTCATCCTGTTTTTGCATTGTTTTCTATAACTATCTTTCACTCATGTTTTATTATATAATTAGTGTTATATATTGCTAATAACTTCTGAATAATAAATTATACTTGAATAAAAATAGTTCAATGCTCAATTTTATTTTGAGAACAAAACAAGAAGTAAAAGTAAGTATATCACTAGAACATCGAAATAATGAATTAACAGGGAGGAAGAAGGAGATATTTAAAACTATCTCGTATAGAGCGTATAGAGTGTAATAAAATGAAGTTATGTAAAATAAAGCGTTACGTTATAAATTTCTACCTAGACAATCACGGCTATACTTTGTCATATACCAACTTGTGATTGCCGATATTTCAATTAATTCGCACGTCCTTGATGGCAAGCACCAAAATAAAAAAATTAATATTTGAACAGCTTCTTCATTATTTCTTTCCACATTTGAAAAAACAGTAGCAATGAAGAAGCAAAGTCTGCCGCCTTCAAGAAAACTCTTTGAGATATAAGGGTAATTTTTTGTTTTCTTTGTGTACTTCCTGAATTACACTTGTAGTTCCAGCCAACCGTGCCATCAACCGCTACATCACTTTCATTTTTAAAACTCAGTAACTCAATATTTTTTTTATGTCCTCTTCATATACGTCTTTGGGGGTCCATTTGCAGGGTCAAAGGAGCCATCAATTCAATTCAGTTGTAGACAATCCTTTTCAAATAAAGACAGAAACAGTATACGTTATACGGTGGAACTTTTCGCTAACATTGTTCCCGCAACAAAATTGTTAAATGGTTCTTCATTGTAATACAAAATATATATATTATATATATATATATATACATTACAATACAAAAATACAATTAGTGAGTGAAAAAAATTAAATCGAGCTGAATTACTGATTTTTATTTGGCAAGTATGTATGAGACTACACACGACGAACAAACGTGTGCGATAGTACGATCTATTGAACAGATCTGTGTGTGGGTTTATTAGCGCTATGCTAGAAATTCTTGTGCGCGCCTATGCGTGCAAGCAAAATGATGACAGCAAATAGGAGTTGTGTAACATGTGTCGAGAGGTGGGGTTTGACTAGCCCAGTTGACGTGTTACAACAAAACAAAATAAAAATGGTGCATGTAAAAGAAGAATGAATTAAAATATGATTCATGTCAAAGCTACTATGTCCGTCCTGTCTTTTAGCTCGTCGTATTGTTTGTCTATTTTATCGTATTGTCCGTTAGTTCATGTATTTATGTTAATTGTTCAGTTAAGTCATTGTCATCTATCTGTTTAGCCAAACACATACACCTTATACTTCCTTACGAAATCATTTACAACTCAATGACTAGGCATGACTCGATTTGTCTTTTTTTATAAAAAAAAATCAATTTAAAAGAAAAATATATTTACAATAAAAACGACATATTGCCGCCCTACGTTTTAAACTTAGAGCGTTCTTAATGAGGTATTAGACAGTATCGTTATCGTGCTGGCAAGAGGCTTCTCCATATATGTTATTGGCGTAAAATTTATAATAAAATTCTTCTAGAGTGATGTGTTACTCATCTATATATGGTACGTTGTCTTTGTAAAATTTGTTTCGCACACACCTATCAAAATCAATAGCAAAATACAAGGGAATTTAGACAAAACTGATTTCAATCAAATCCGTTCACATTAGTATACCATAGTCATCATATTTCACGATTTCTTACAATTGTTTTTTTAGTTTCTATATTATAATTTTTTTATAACCGTTCCTCTTTTACTTTTTTATTAAGCAAATGTTATGGTAACAATAAAGTAATTATAAAGTTAAATCGTTTTTCTTTTTGCTTTTTATTGATATAAATGTATGTTTTCCAATCATTATTATACCTTACAACACTTGTGGTACAGGGTATGTTACATGGTGCATATATAGCATGCAGAAGTGATTAAGATGGACGCACCTTTTATTATACCGATCGATTCAGAATCATAATGTAAGTGGATCTAAGCCTGTCTGTCCGTCTAATGTCGGTCCATATAAATTTGTGTTCAAGCTGCAGGTCGCAATTTTTAAGATATTTTGACTAAATTTGGTACAGTGACGTGTTTTGGCTCAACGGTGAAGGTTATTGAAAATGGTTCGGAGCGGCCATCTTTTTCGACCACTCCCCATACAACGCCCTATTCTGTAAAGTCGTTGTATGGAAAAAAATTGTAATCCTCAAAAAGTGGCTAAGTAGTAATATTTCGACATACTAAATTGGTGTGAAAACTTTGGACTGGGTGGGGTAATCTTTAAACACTCTCTCATATAGCGAAAACTGAAGTTTATACGACAAAAAGGTATAATTGTCATTGCTTCACGATGAAAATTATATCATAATAGTAATTTAACATAAAAAAATTAACTGTACCAAATTTGTACCATCTCGGCCCATTTTTTGGCCCTAATAACGATTTTCACGAGAATTAATCCTTTGTAGAGCAGAGAAGCCTAAGTTTTAAGTGTTGATGGAAACTGACCCATAATATTATAATAATTCCATACAAAAATGAACTGTACAAAATTTGGATCATCTACGCCTATTTTTTAGATCCTGCCCTATGTAAGGATTAAATTTGCACTACATCAGGTTGCGTTTTGGGCACGCTTCGCCGTAAATACGCAAATAAAAGATATGCCTTTATATGGAAGTAAGATATAACTTTTGTATTCTATAGTAAAAATAAGAATTGTGTTAGACAATGTGATGTAGGGTATTTAATGGTCAGCCATGCCCGACTATAATGTTCTTACTTGTTTTTTCTTAATTTTTCCTTAAATTAACCATTGAATCTCTTTTACACCATTAGAAGTAAATATGTCTTGTTATTTTACACAAAGGGTTTTGTGTGGTGTGAATGCTTGCTAAGAATTGCCTCCTCTCTTCTCATTTTTCTGAGTATGGCTTGATCTATCTCCCAATTTGTGTATGTTTTAGCTTAGCGATTAGTAATTTGTAAAAAGTCAAAGTTGCATTACGAAAAACCCACCCTTATGTAATACAAACGGACTTTAGACCTTGTTCTCTTTAGAATTCCGCTCTTTTATTTTAACAATAACTACAACTATAACTAAGTAATTATAAAAAAAAAAGAATATGAGCAGAAATCCGTTATTGCATGGTTTATTGCTCTTTTAAGAAGAACAATGGGAAAAGCGTCGCCAGAAACCTCCTACATCTATGTACCCTGACGTCACAATTGCATAAACTACATGTATTTAATTTTTCTGTTATATCTTAAAAATATTGTATAAAATGTTACTGTGCATATTGGCGATAGACCTGTTTTCTTTTATGCTGAATAAATCAGAATCATTTTCGTAATCGATCTAAGCTTGTCTGTCCGTCTAAAGTTTGTTCATATAACTTTATGTTCAATCCACAAATCGCAGTTTTCAAGTTAGTTTAATGACACTGGGTGCACTGAAATGTTTCGGTGCAAGGACAAACACAATTGAAAATGGTTCGGATCGAACCTGCAAAACCATATCATTGGCCAATTCTTACAAAGTTGTGTAAAGAGTTGGCATAGTTGAAGTCCCATCCCGAAAATAGGAATAGCAGCCACTGTGCTTGAGGCCTAGAGAATAAATTTGTTATGCGAATAATAAATGGAAGCTGGTCATTGACAACATATATATCGTAATAATTCAAAGAAAACAAAAAAAGTGTTTATAGTAGAAAAGACTCGTTTGATATATTCCATGAAACTGGAAATCAACAACTATCTATTTTAGCATCAATCCGAACAAGGTACAACTAGACAAGAGCGACACGAGCATTAAAAAGCCCCGGGAGATAATCATGTAAGCAGGCGGTCATCGCGGTATATTATCGCCGGGTTCTTTTTAGTAGGCAATTGTTTATCACCCAAAGGCTAACCAGGTATCATCGTCGCCAACTTTCCAATATTTTCTCTCAAATTTTCCATTACAATGCCTTAACAACAGAATGAAACTTAAAAAATGAGAGCCAAATTGACGTTTATATGTTTTGCAGAATGAAATGAATAGAAAATTATGTACAATTTGTATTAAGCTCTAAAATAATAAATTAATATGAATGTTGAATTGGTCCTAATCGATTTAAAAAAATTTACAATTTAATTTAATTACTACGGATTAATGGAAATTTCTTGTTAATATAAGTAATAAAATATATGCGCTTTCGATTTTTTCATATAAATATTTAAATATTTAATATGCTAAGGTATTACCATGAAAGGAAGAAGTCATTAAAAGTTTAAGTGCGGTCCATAAAGAAGTATTATTTTTCTTTAACTGATTGTTTGTTAATGATTTTGATTGCTTTTTTTTGTTTATATTTTATTAAATTGACGAAATGGTATACATCATTGAGGGTCATCCTGAAAAGGCTTAAAATTATTACCAAACTTCTTCGCAAACGCGTCAAAAACTATGCCGATTGCGGGATGATCTAGCAACAAAGCTAAATTCGTTGTGTTTGATGCAAAGAAATGCGGTGGACGGCGGAGAGTCAGTTAACAAAAATTTTTTTAGTGCTTTATTTCTTGTATTCATACTATTATGCTCAAATGTGGGCGAAGTACAAATACAAAGTCAGCAAAAAATGCAGTGACAACAGTTTGTCCTTTAAACAAACAAAGGATGGCCATGCGAGGAATAATATATTCTGAAAGTTTTGACGATTCATTGCCGCCTGCAAGTACCGCAAATCTAAAAGCCACTGACGATATGCCAAATAGTGGCGGTAAGTACAGATTATTAATTTTTCATTTCGTTACTAATGATTAATGAAATTTTCTGGTTTGTTTTGTATTCTGCGTATATTTAGAATCTCTATAGCGGTAGGTTGTTCGGCTGAGGACAATATCCCATAGAGTTCTTCTAAAAACGAAAGTAAGTGGATTTTAATTATGGCGTTAATAATTATTCTTTACAGTTATTTACCAAAGAGAAAGGAGGGCTCTAATTTGATGGAGTTGTATCAAGAGCAGGTCGAAGAAAAGCGAGAATATCGAAGGCAAAAGCTGCAATACCAACACTGAAAATTGGAAATAATGAGAAAGTGGAAGGAAAGTGCGAAATCATATGAGAGCTCGTCAAAACTCATTAGGAAATGATATACAAATGAGCCGTGCACTACGCACAATGACTAACTCCTCAAAACAAAAAGTTGAAAAATACGATGATATAATGTACATTGTTTTTAAAAATTCCTTCTATAATACAATTTCAGACAAATTTTGCACAACGAATGTGTGGACGAATGTACCTTCAGCTAACGATGTATTAAATTTATAACAATGGACAAAAATAATAATTATTAATTACAAATTTTTATCTGGCTATGAATCGAGTGGAATCAATTTGACAAATGAAAAAAGTAGTAAAATTAAATCCAGCGCTTAAATGTTAAGGTTTTTTTTGCAGAAACAGTTAATTATTATTACAGTTAAATATTATATTATATTCTTTTTTACAGATTCTTCATAAAAATGAATGTTAGCAGTCTTTTTATAATGTATTATTAGTGATTAATTCATATAAATGTGTATAAATTTCGTGCCGGCAATCCTCTAACTTGTTAACCCAACTGCCTCATATATATATATTTTATTTAAAAGATATTTTAGATAACTAAAATAAACTAAAATAATATGACGATTGCTTTACGTTGGGGAATTGTAACAGCTGATAAAATAAGTCACGATTTTTGCGTTGCTTTAAGCACCTTACCATTTGATGAGCATCAAAATGAGTGTCATTTTGTTAAAACCATTGCAAAGAGCAGAAGCAGATTTCTAAGACCCCATAAAGCGGATAGATTCTTGGCCTGTTTTAAGTTTGCATTGCACCTAAGTACGTTCGTCTCTCCATCTGCTCAGCCTTGTAGTATCTATGGCAAGGATTCTCCCGGCTAAGAATTTGGAAGTGGCGTAAGCTTTTCAAAGGACAACCACGCCAACAACGCCTAAAAAAATTAATTTTAGTTTGGAAAAGTCTTTGCCGAAATTAAATTTTCAAGAGGTGAGATGAGTTAGATTTTTGATTCACAATCCACATTTTGTAGGGCCTAGAGGTCAGTATCAGCAATAACGTTGCTCACTAAATTTACCCAAGCAAACACAGCATTAGTACCTAGTGTAAAGCTTATTGAATCACATAAAAATTTATTGCAAGCACCAGTTGCTTTTTTGCACAAATGTTTTACTTATTACGTTTTCTGCGTCTGCGATGCTACAAGCGTGATAGTTTTGCGCCTTTTCACGTTGCCTCAATTGTGGTGACTTCACACACACATCAACACCATTACCTTCATAGGTCGCTTGGCGTGTTGGAGAAATGAGAAATGATCTTTTTTCACTTTGTAATGGACGCAAATGTTGCTTTGGGCTGTAGCAGCTCGTTCGCTTTTCCTTTCGAATTCTCTGGAAACGCGGAAACTCTGGGTAAAAGTCGATAAATTAACATAACATATTCTTAGACGCTGTTTATAAACATAAGAAACAATTTACTTACTCGTTTTGAGGTAGCGCTAGGGAGTTTAGAAGCCCGCAAGCCTTTCCCGCCCGCGTCATGATAATCCGTTCTTCTGTGTTGCGGCTGTCAATGTTTTCGATTGCACTTGCCAACATGAATAGATTCCCTTGCCGGTTGTCGCCTACTTCATTGTCATCAGCGTATATGATTACCCGCCTGCACAATCTATGTATGAGAGCTGTAATTCAATGGTAAGTTATTCCTATTTTTTGGGATGGGACTTAATCTTTCCCGACTTTTTATGAGACCTTGTATGAGCTCAAAAATCCTTTGGTTTCCATACAAATAAAACAATAAAAAAAAAACTCACAAGGAGAAATAAAAACAATATACTTTAAATTTAGAAATTATATATCTAATTGATGTTTATTTTGTACTAATTTAAATTTTTTTATGTTATGCCGTTTAAAATTTTAGTTTATACTTTATATTATTTTAAGAGAAATGAAAAATAAGTATTACATGTGATTTATGTGCAATTTTAATTATATTTGTCATTGTACATTTTGTTGTTTAATTACATTTGCAATTTAACCAATTCCTTTTTTGCGTGAGTGAAGTCAGTCTCCAAGCCACTTCTTCTAAAGTCACTTTTTTTCATTCCGTTAATCAATCAAAAATTTAATTTACTTTTAACTTAATTTTCTTGCCGTTGTTTTTCATATATTTGTAGTTTACATTTATGTTGATTTCTTTTGTTTTACTTCTTAAACCATATGCTTTTATTTATATCTACATGGATTTTATTTTTTGTTCTTATGAAAAAATATGGTAACGTGGCTTCTCATTGTGTTTACCACATGGGGCTTATGATCCCGAAAATCAGAATAATGCATCATTGGTTTTGAGACATTCGCTTTATTGTCAGGTTTGGGAATTAAAGTTAATCATACCAAAGGCAATGTAAATAAGCACAATAAAGCCGTGCACCCTGAAAAAATTTTCCGCTTCTTACGTACTATATAGGAATTGCGGTTAACATAATGGGGCGCTATTCTCCTTTTCGAAGTAAAAACTTCCAAGTGGTAAACACAATTGCAGCGATGCTACCGTATTATTTTACAGAAAACTGTAAACAAACACATATGGTTTATAATCAAAAGTAAAGAAGGCAACGTAAACATAAACAATAAATTTATGAAAAATGTCGATAAGAAAGTTAATATAAAAAAAAAAAAGAGAAAAAAAAAAAAACACTCAGGAATCTAATAGCTGAAAAAACCCAAGTATTGGACAGTACTGGTTGGAATCTTTTGTACACAGACGGGTCAAAATATCCTGGTCTGCCTCCTGCTTGTGCGGTGGTAGATGCTACAGGACGGGTTCTTCTCAACCACATATTTCACGAAAGTACTTCAACTTTCACAACGGAAGCCAGAGCTATCCTTCACGCTGCCAACCTTGCCCATAAAAACAAACTCAAAACCGCTATTGTTACCGACAGTTTGTCTGTATTACAAGCTGTTTGGAATCCTTCGACTTCGAGATGGAGCACCTTCAACAAATTAAGGAATATAATTACTACACCCGACGGAAAAATTAAAATGTTATGGGTACCAAGTAACATCGGTTTACTGGGAAATGAGCAGGCTGATCGAGCGGCAAAGTATGCTGCTTTTGCTCCTCTAATTATGGATGATGTCATGGAAAAGTTGGATCTTCAAAGATACATTGGAAGAAAAGTTAAAGAGAAAATTGCAGAAGGAAATTCACAATACCATCATCAACACTACTCTTGCATTAACCCTCAATTAACTCCACCTTTATATCCAACAAACGTTGAGAAAACCAAGATCCAAACATTTTCGAGAATTCGCCTTACACTTACTTATTCGTCATACAATTGCAACTCACCAATGGATCCTGAAGAAGTCTTCTCCCCCAATCTGCTGTTGTAGACAAACTCTTACTATAAAGCACATTCTCTGCGATTGCCTCAACTTTTCCTCGGCTAGAAGTATTGCATTTGGAACGATTAACCCTTTGAACATTCTACAATTAGCTTCAGAACAGAATATCAATTCAATATATTACTTTTTTAATACTACTAAGTTCACTATCTAATATCCATTTATTTAAATTAGAGCCGATAGCCTGTGTTGCTAGTGCTCAATGTCTTTTTTTTAGTCTAAGAATTCATTTCATTAGTCTAACATTAAAATAGTAATAATAATAATAATAATAATAATAAAAAAAACAAGCTCTGAACCTGTCAACCCTGTGCGGAAACAACAAGAATTTTTTTTCTTGATCTAAAAAGTTTGTTTCTTTGCAGCAAAAAATGTGCGTCAACTCAGGGAACTAACTTAATATGTTGGAAGAGTGAATTTATCTTTTTAATGAATGATAATTTTTTTTGTTTCTTCCAACTTTTTTTGTTTTTCCATCTTCTAATATATCAAGTTTTTCCTTCTCAAGAGTCAGATAAAATGCTTTCCTTTTCTTTAAATTAAAGTGATCACAACACAAAACGGCCTTACCCATCTCGTGCCTCAGAAATAGAAATTTCATATTTATGTTTGATGAATTCAATGATTTTGAAAAAAAGCAAAACCATAAGTTAGCTTCTCTTGATACCCTACTGAAAGAGATTAAGCCAAGCATCACTTCAGAGGTCAATGTGTCAAACAGTACCGTTCTCACCGCTGCCAGTGATAATCAAGCTGAGATGTCTGTTCTAAACTCCACACAGTTGGAGATGAATCTATATGATCCTGATATGTCGAAATGCCCGAACAGGGAGAATCAACGTGTCCTGATATCCTCCGATTTAGCTTTTTATAAATACGCTAAGAATTTTAATTTAACTGGTGTAAATTTCATGAAAGCGATCAGCAATAGTAAGGCTAAGCCTCTTTTTAATTCGGCGTCAAATGCACAAAAACGCATGAAGACATACAAATTGCAAATTCTTCAAAAAAAGATTGGGCGTTGTGCGCAATATTCCCACCGACTGTAGTACTGTGTTTCATTGAGAAAATTTCTTCCTCATGGATTCCGATCCGTTCGGTGACGAGGCTGTATAGCAAATCCGCTGACCACAATACGACTTATGTACCAACCATGGATTTCTGAAAGTTTTTCCTTCCGGGGATTTAAATGCCAGGCATCCTCTCTATGGGGAGAGAGGCAAAATTCTTGTTAATTTAATGAGTTCTAGGAGTTTTCGCTGCCGTAAGGACGGCTCACAGACCTTCAATTTTTCGGTTCAAACACGACTAGCCTTGTTTGAGACCATTGGCTTATTATGGACAACAAACACCTTCTCTGAAGAGTGGAGGCGCATTAAGATTATTCCGATACTGAAGCTTGGCTAAAGCCATTATAATACCAATAACTTCGAATCGATTTCCCCCTTCTGTAATTTCATTTTCTTTGAATTTTCATTATTGCCAACTTAACGTTTAATAATAATTATGAAGATACCTTCAAAAATTGTCAGTCTTATTCCAATGTGATCAAGCTATTTACTAATAATCATGATGGCTTGCACCCAGAAAAGCATTCTTGCCCCTACAGCCTCTTCTCCGATCGAAAATTAAATTTGCACACTATATCACCTGTAACCTTCCAGCCTATCTAGCCAAAAAAAATCAGTCGTTTGAAAATAGATGCTTGAGGTGATACTGGGGTTTGACCCCCTCGACCCTTGTCAACATTGTGCGAGTAATCTTTTGCATTCTCGCTCTCTCTTTTTCGGAAAGAGCTCTGGTAGTTACGGCGATAGACCCAACTGTATGCAATCAGGTTCCATGCACCTACGCTTTTTGCTATCGCAAATTGAGGCTCATTTTCGAAAAATTAAAATCCTTTCCTGTCTGAAATTCCGTTAGTAACAATTGTCGTGTGGATCTCAACATCTTAGCCTCACTCAACTCCATCAAAGGGAGCATTCCGTTATCAGCTCTAAAGTCTTTGTGTAATGAGAAGCTAGAGTTCTACCACAACAACTGCTTTAAAATAGACGGTTCTGTAGGTCCAGAAATATTCATTTCTGCTGTTGTGAAATATCGCGTCAAGACAATCTTCAAAGCCCAAATCCTTGATAATCTTTCCTCTACCTTCATTGAATTATTGGCCGTCGATCTTGGTGTATCGAATGGGTGCACAAAGTTTGTAATTTTCTCTGGCAGCAGATGTGCTCAATAACCCCTTCATTGAGCAATGCTATCTTGTCTGCGTTCCTGATCATTGCGGTTTCTGTCCCAACGGAAAAACTGACTCCTATCCACGAGAAGCTCAATTTGATGGTGAAATTAAGTCTACGAAATACCCGCCGAAAGAAGTTTTGTGTAAAATGCGAAATATCATCACTAGCCAACTTAATGAGGAATACATAAACACCGCAAGAGGAAAGACGTATCGTCTCTTCTACAAAATGTTTCCATCCATGTTCTTCAAACACCTACCCGACTCTGTTTTCTCCTCTTGGAGATCAAAAGTCCTTTACAGACTTTCTTCTGTTCTCACGATTACTTTCATCCTAGGGAGGTAACTGCCTTCAGCAAAATTGACGATTTCTCTTTCTAACTTTATCTCTATTCTTTTGTCTATCTACTTTTTCATTTTTCACTGCTCTCACCCAAATCATGCGTTTTCTATTTAGATTTCATATCCGTTCTAACTACACTCATACTGAAGTCGCTCTAGCTCTACCCCGCAGTACGAAACATCCTACTCTTGATTCATTACTACCTGGCTCCATTTGGGCATTCACTCCTTCGCAATATTGCTGATCTACAACACGCCTTCAATCTTTGACTTCTATGTCTTGTTACTGGTGATGTGGACCTATATACAAACAAAAAAGAAAACCAAAGTAAACAAGCTTGGCCGTTTATTAATGATGACGAAAATTGATTAGATATATGTATATATATATATATATATATATATACAGCCGCCAAAGGTGAAGTCCAGGTGTAACGACTCATTGCGCCAATCCCCATATAGTTTTTTACGTAAACCAACAAATAAAACAAAAAGAGAAAGATAGACGACGGAATGGGAACGATTTGTTTTAAATTTGAAAGCTACTTACCTAATTTTATATTTCATATCATATAATTTAAGTCTTTTTTATATTATATTATATGAAATTTCAATTTATAATATACATTAATTTCCAAAAAATGATGAAGGGAAATTAAGGCGATTAATTTTCAACTTAAAGCATATTTGTCAAGTTTTTGCATTACAGAATAATATATTAAAAACTAACTTCCTTTATTTAATAATAGGAAAGGGCTCCCGATGATGTTGTAAACAGTTCCTAAATCCTTTTTTCCCTTATTCAATGTTCAAGAGTTTTCGTTGGTTTCATGCTAATCTGTTACTGTAATATTTGTGATTTTTTGGTTTTTGTTAGTCAAACTACATGCTAATCGTTTACATATACACAGATTTGTTTATTTTTTCTTTTAAAATGATAAGGTAAGGCAGGAAAGTGCAAATTTTTATTTAGGGGACTAATCCGGGTTTAATTTGTCAGAATATAGGTAAAGCTCCATTGTAACGAAAGCCTTAGTTTCAAGATGGGAAATAAGCTCTTACAACTTTTTAAGAGATTGTAAAAAATGGTACATCATATAGTTTTGTGCGTACAAATACAACAAAAAGAAAAGAATGCAGAAGCTGGAATGAAAGCAATTTACTTCAAA